TTAACCTTTGGGAAATATAGAAAGAGAGAGAGACGGCAGTTTACAATTAAGTAAACTTTTAAGTTAGTATTAAATCCTTCCACATACCAACTTCCTTTATTCATTTCCTAACAAAAGCGATACAAGAAGTGTTGTCATTAGACAGTCGTAGAAATATAAGGGTAATCCTATAGCAATGAATGAACATATATGTATTATATTCATAATATGCATTATACCAATGAATTAATGGAATTTGGGCAGGAAGATAATTATAATAGATTTATAAAATATATCTCCGTAAGAAATTAACGATGAAATGTTCAAATACAGACATTTGAATTTTTTCCTCTTTATTCAAGGCATATATTAGGTACCTACGTGGCATGCCATTTTTTTTTTACTTTTTTCATGGTTGTTTATATTACTATAATATTTACAATCTTCCGATATTTTGACGCAACTACAAATTACAAACGTCCGTCCGTCCGTACGTCAAAGTCACGAGTTGACTTGAGATGGCAATAGATGTAAACAATTATTACGAGTAGACAAATCTGACATAGCGTTCAAATATCTCATAAATGGTAATATTAACTTCAATGGGTTCTCTATTATAGAAATTGCATCCAAAGCTTCACTAACAGGCTCCTACCAGGTTTGGCTGGGCAATGAAAGACACACGAGCAGATTAGGTATGTGTTGAGGTACGTCGACAATGGAGCTCTTTAAAACTCGGGTAACAAGTTTTGGGAACTGCTCGGAGTTTCCCTCTCTACAACTCGATGGACAAGGTACCCGTATGGTGAATCCATGGATTGCTGAAGAAGTTTGTCTTCCTGTCTCTTTATATAATGTGTACAGTTTATATGATATGGTAAAATCTATGTCTGTAATTTAGCAGTTTAAACGCAAATGACCAAACAAGCAAACATCCTCACGTGAGACTCACATGTATCATATTATCTTGGCTATTTCTATTAAATGTAAAAAAAAGAAATGTTTTATACTATATAAAACATTTCTTTTTTTTACTTTTATACCTCGTAACATTTTTGATAAGAGTTTCACTGCCATTTAGATTCGTATATTTTGTACTTAGCTTACTACTTTAATTCTTTGGTATGATAACCTTTAGGGGTGGTGGCATTCCAATTTCATAATAGTGTAAGTACTGATTTGATGTCCTTGATTTCTATCAGATGTCAGATGTTTAATACCCATATTACACATATCTCCTTACCTCAGACTAGAGAGAGCTATGTGAATTGTCTGGGTTATTATTCTTATTATAATTAATGTTCTGCTAAAATGGATTTAATGAATTGGTCGTTTACTTTTTAGACAAGTAGCATATCTGGCTGTTTCTCGGCTATATAATGAAAATGATGTACCACGTCTCTTAGTCTATATAGATTAACCTATTTATTTTTTGTTATCGCGACTATTAAAACAATGATTACTCGTAATTGTTCAAATAATTCGCCAAAATTAGAAATACATAAACTACTGTTGTAATGAAATGAATGCAGCGCAAATTTGTTTCACTATACCTTATATATAGTAAACAATATACAATATAAAGGGCAAGCAAGTTCAAACTAATAGTGTAGTAAAGTTACGACTAGATGCACAATATCCAAAAAACTCAACAGCGGTATTGCAAATTATTTTATACTCTACACAATTAATAATAATAATACATACCCTATCAAGTCAACCTCCGGGGGATCCACCATGGAAAGAATCGTGATGAATTTCTTGTGAATTCACCAGGTACGGCTAAATTCCTCATCTGATTACTTTTTATTGGCGCCCCGCAAGCATATATCTACCGTTGACGCAGGAGGCTGCACCATACCATGATCATTCATTAAAAAAAAGTTAAGAGCTACGAACTTCGCAAATTTTTAGAGAGTCCAACCGACTATGTCCATATTTGTAGCCGTTATATGGGAAAATTAAATTAATTTATATGAAGTGCGTCCCTTTGACTCTATTTTGAAATTACAGTACATTTCTTTTTAATTCAAAATTCTTACTTGTTCTGTTACGTGTTATAACTTAAATACAAATTCAAATTATCTTTATTCATGTAGATCTACTACAGACTCCTATGCTATGTCAAATCTACCGTGAATTCGGAATGATTTCGAGATGAGAAGAACTGACAAGAAACTCAGCTCGTATTCTTTTCAAATAAATGCATTTTATATTTATTTGAAAAGAATAAATGCAGATTCATCTTTAAATTCAAATTTCGGATTGAGTATTTGAATTTTTATAGTTAGAACTAGTTCTTTAAAAAAATATTTAAATGACCATAAACGACAATACCCTAAACATTTTTTAATATCTACGTGGAATTAATTTCACGCATTATCTTGTGGAATTGTCCTTATTTGAAAAATATTGTTACTGCTAAATAGTTCCTTGAAAGTTGGGAGGGAAAAATTTATTCAGTTTATGGTACTTTGTTGTGGCATCCAATATATGAACGAGTGGGTATATAACACATGGAGACTATTGGCCTATAGTTAGCAATGAACCACCTGACATGTTATGTCAGGTGGTTCGTTTCATTCGCAATCGTGGTTTTATACTTGTTAATTTACTACGATGGGCTAACTGACCAGGCTGCATGCTAACAATCGATCAATAGAATGGAAACTATTGATCGATTGTTAGCAATGTATCATGTCTGGTGATTCGTTTCAATCACATTCGTCGTTTAATACTTGTTAATTACTTAACTTCGCTACGATGGGCTGGGATGGCTAGGCTCCATGAATATCCTACCATCGTTCACTGGAGAAGCGCCTGCATCTAACGATAGCAAGGTGGTGAGTGCCTCCATATTCATCCATAAAAAATAACCATTACGTTTTGTAGCGTCGAATGGTATGAATGTTGCTATGGCCAAAACTCCAATGTATACAAAGCGTATACAATTGCATAAAGCAAATTAATCTGCAGTGCCATTAAATATAAAGAAAATTAATCAAAAAAATTTACAAAACCCATTACAAAATGAGAAATCGTCAATTTCTTAGGTCGATACTCGGGTTACAAATAAAAGTAAATTTTTAAACTTTTGTTTAGCCAATTTAAAATTACAGTTGATTGTCTGGCTATTTGAATAGTGTTTAACTGTAATGTTTAGTATAATAGTGCATACTATTATACAAAACATTAACGGCACTGAATTTTTAGACTCGTATTAATTATTTATTTATTTAGTTACATATTAATTTATTTATTTATAAGGAAAAACTGTCCTACTGGCCCTGCGGCTATTTTCTACTTTACAGCCGTTACAGATTCTCAATGACCATGCTACCAACCAGGGGAATACCAATTTTGTATATTGTACAACTTTATCGCATATTACGTCATGTGCCCATGTGCAGTACAATGGATACAGTCATCACTAGATATAAAAACTATGAATGACCGATTTCTATCGAAAGTGTACAAGTTAATAAATACTCCACTTTTCGATATTTCATTAGTAGTTGACATATCGTTTTGTATGACTCAGTTGAATATAGTATTTGGGTAGCACTTTAGTATTTATTTACTTTATGGTACCACCTTTTTATTTGTATGTATTGTGCAGCATTGCGTGTTGTTTGTTAGTCGGTTTTGTGGGGCGATGTTGAGTCCAGAACGACAAAATCTGACCAATAGTTGCCGGCGTACTTATTGGCCACGCCCCTATGATTATTCGTTATTATTTTGTCAACTATTTGAAATCGTTGCAAACATGACACTATAGGCATAAAATCTAGCCCTTTGAAGTAGTAATGCATAAATGCCCTGTACTGTAGATCGTGCCATCTACTGATGATGATCAAACGACAACAATAAAAAAAGCATCAATCATACGACGTCATGTCTTATTTCATTAACGAATGAATTATAATAAAACTCTTTGTGACATATTGAAAATATTTATAACACTATTGCCCCTTTTTTGGCTGTATTGCCAACGTATAGGGTATATTTGCCTATATCCCCTATATATTGACTCATATATAACAACTTATTCTGTAAACATTTTATAATCATTCCTCCACCCTTTTTTATGAAACATTAACACAAACAGAAACTCGTCACGAGTTTACAATTTAATTCTATGCAAAGTTAAAGAAGATGACTGTCTCCATTTCCTATAAACAAAGAGGTTCCATGGATGGAACTTGACCACTAATTAACTTAACATATTTTCTTAATATAATTTGTTTTAGGTGTTCTAAGCAACAAAAACTAAACACGAGATTTTATGGAATAGTGCCGTCGTTTATTTGTTTGTAAAACGATAATGTATTTTAAAAACCATACAGCGTATATTTTGAAATATAGTTTTCAAATTAATTCAAGGGAATTCCCGCTTCTGAAAAAAACCGGGGAATCTCGTTATAAGCACCTTAGCCGGTTCTCAAAATGTACCCAACATTATAAGTAATAGTTCAGGTATTTCCTGTATAAAAACGTTTTCTGTGATAATAATCGCACTATCATTATGTAAGTACCACTGCTGTAATCGTATCTTTCACGTCTACGTAGTCTCTGGGTAAGTTTTATGTCACGCAAGACACGATATTTTCATACCAATACCATACTGAATGAGCACGTATTATGATCTTTTATTGTGTCCCAAAAGGCTGATGAAATATCTGCTCTAACTCATGTTTGCGTATAGTTATGAGTAGTAAATTAATTACTATCAGCTTAGACTTATGTACCTTTATGTGTAGTTGCCCCTTCATCATCATCATCATCATCATCATCATCATCTGTTTCTTACTTATCCCATTTATTTGGGGTCGACGTCATATGTATTAAAATTGACAGTTTTGCTATTATGTATGAATACTTTAGTTGTGAACCGTAGAAATCTGCTTGTAAATGCGTCAAATTAGTTAATAAATTAAGTTATTTTTCTTTATATTTTTTACCATACCATTAAGGATGTTTGTCTAAATTCAAATCACAACAAGGACAATATGTAATTTCAGGTCAGTGGAAAACGTTAAGCAAAGACGCAGTGCCCTCACAGAACCTGCCCAAGCTGAACGCTGATGGCACTGTCATGGTCATCAGGAAGAGCCGCACAGTCAAGTACAGGGAGACCAAGAAAGAAGACATCCAGAGGTACGTATAACATCCAGTTTCTAATAATTCTCAAACTAGATTATTGTTTCTTTTGTTCTACATCACGACCATACTTATATATATTCAAATTTTTGTATGTATTGGTGAAATCTATGATGAGTTTTACTCAATAGACTATAAAAGATCTCACGCGTGGAGATAATGGTTTTACCGAATTTTTCTTCTGAGCACTTGACTGTAAAACCAGGCATGGTGGATTAGAATATTATTTTGTTATTGTCAAGTATTCATTTCTTTTAGACATTGCAATAGAGATAAGTATGGTCACATCTTACAGAGCATGCAACAGTCGAAAGTGGTACTCACCGCCTATAGATATGAGATTCATGCTCATATCTATTATCCATGTGTACAATATTTGACAAATGTGACAATGAATCTAAGAGAACTCCGAAGCCTCCTAACCTCGTGTATTCACTGTAGTATAGTACCTTCAAATTCATACAATTTGTGTGTTAAAGTAAGCTAGTTGGCATTAGGACCATTATTTTACCATCGACTATATACAGCATCACAGACATCACTGCGTCAGGTGAAACTCGTATTACTCATACATTGATATTCCTCAGGACTGAACTATACACTGCCATATTATATCTCTATATATATTTACTAACTAATGCCCGTGACTTTCTCCGCGTATTGGTTAATTATTTTTAAGTTCCTTAATTTAGAATTCTCGACAGGCACGATCATTAAATATGAGGAAAAAATTCTAACTTACGACTTTTAATGACATGAAACTTATTTAAATTATATTGTAAGAACATGGGAACCTTGAATTAAAGCTGAGGCATCACCTGTAATCGAGCAGAGAAATGAGAATGAGAAACCGACGACTTCGTCGGTTTGGCGAAAATTTTTATTTTTGTTTAGATTTTGTAAGATCTCTTAATGCTTCTTTATAAACGTTTAACTTATTTCTAATTTGATTCGGAATATGGACAAATAGTTTGGTTGGCTGACTTACACGGGAGAAAGCTACATAGAGTTGGCCGGGAGAGAAACAACTCATACTGAGATAGATCCACTGCTGCAATACGCAACGTCGGCCCTTAGGCTTTGTTAATTGTCATCGCGGAACTCGACACGTTTGAATCGAAAGGGTGTATACAATTTTATTCTCAGTGAAATTTATCTTTGTTATTGCAGTGACAAATCGGACAAGTGGGGTATGCCCATCAGTCACATTCACCGTACGAGTCAAATCATCAACATGTCTGAGAGCGCGCTTTCCAACACAGAGTCGCCACAGTCCTTGGAATCCGGTGTAAGTTTTTCTTATTATTGAACAACGTACTTGCAATTCCTCTGGTGTTGCAGGTGCTCATGGGCGACGGTAATGACTTACCATCAGGTGAGCCGCATGCTCATTTGTCCTTGTATTATAAAAAAAAATCTAAAGAGCCAAAATTAAAATAAAGCAGGCAAATAAATAAATAAACCAAGGCAGTATTTGCAGAATATACTGTACTGTAGTGTGCTGCAGCCATGGCAGGTCTAATTCTCTTTTCTTGAAGATTTTTTGCACTTCTATTGAACGCCACTGACAACACATTAGGTCGTGACGCCCGTAATAATCCTATGCGTTGCCATTCTGGATCACTACGACTAAGATATTGTGGTAACCCTGTAACACTGTAATTTCTCTGCCGTATCCGACCTACCCTCCAATCAAAATTCATTAAAATGCTGCTTTGCTACGGGTGAATTGAATTTCACAGCTGTATTTACCATCATTACAGTTTTCTGCTGAATATAACTTTCTCCTATAGAACTTAATAATAATGATCAACCATTGACTTCGTAAAAGTATGTAATCCTAACCTACATTTTCCTGAAATCATTTCCTATAAGAAAGGCACTTGTCGACAGAAATAAGTAAAACAGAGTTCAACATGAAGCTGATTTATTACAAAGTTTCTTTACATCCCGTACATCAAATTTGGCACTATCTAACTTCCCGTCTCATTAAACCGAAACATACAATGCACGCGTTACTGCTTCAGTTGAGTATCCCGTATCTCATACTTTTAGATTATAAGTGCCCCTCTTCCCCTTCACTCTGGCGTTAGTGGAGATAACCTTCCCGTTAACACAGATAACCTAAGAGATACGTGCGTGGGCGTGGGATTTTCACGTGAGGAGATCGCGGGTAAAGCCATAGTCGAGAAGCTGTCTTATGAAGGCCATGCAAAAGTTGAAAGAGCCGTGATTAACTGTCTCAAGTCTTGTTGTATAATTTGAATTGATATACTATAGTATGTTTCAAATTTAAATCTACATTTGTGCACTCGTTTTAATGAAGACAATTTAAAATATATAAATATAAAATTCTGCTGCCGTACTTACGGCTCTAGAAATGAAAAAGATATGCGTTTTATTATCCAAACCGGAAAGAGGAAACTAAAAATAACAACGTAAATCATTACTATCAAACAAATCTTACACAGATTGTTATGCTTTTATCTAGGCTTCTGATAGATTTGCTGAAGTGTCTTAAAATTTATATCCTTGGCATTTTGGCTTTCTCTTACGATCTGAGTGAGTGAGAAATACATACCAATATAAGAATTTGTTATGAGTATACTTAAATTTATCAGTATATTCTTTACTGCTCAATATTATTTATAAGTAGTCAGAACCTTAGAAATATTGATTGAATATATTAAACGGATAATATTTTTATGATTAATATTTCATTAAACAAATACAAAATAAAGAATTTTATTCATTCCATTTCAGCTCGCTTACCGGCTACAGTCACTACACGCGATCGCTGACAATATATCACCGCAAAATCATGGCATGAAACCAAAAAAACAAGACGCCATTATGCAAACCGAACCTGTACAGTCTGAAGAAGATGACACACAGCCGAACAACAGTTGCAGCGAACCGTCAGAAGCCTTAGACTACCCAATCGCTCAGTACAAAGACACAGAATATGAAAATCCAAAGTCGTATGATGCACCGAAAGATTATACAAAAAATGACGATGACTACATACCGCAGACGAACGAAGAGTACAATAAGGAAGCTGAGAAATATGCACTTGAAAGGAAATCGCACAACGGTTACGATAAACCGGTATTAGATACTGTTTATCAGAAACCGGTACCGGAAAACGGATATCAGAAGGTACAGGATGTATATAATTACGACAAATATCAGAGGACAGATTTTACTGGATATCAAAATGGTTATCAAGATAGTGTTGAAATGTTAAGGAATCAACAACATAATCTACAAATGTTGCAAGAACAACACCGTATAACCGGAAATGAGAATTTTTTTAATGAGAATCATATAAAACAAGAGATAGACATGAATGTTGAGGATGATAAGTATATGTACGAAAGATCCAAGGAACAATTAGGTGAGTTTGTAACTTTTTTTATTGCTTATTCACTATAATATCTGGGTCACGTTTCTCTAGTATGATATCACATACTTTGTAATTCTACATATAGAAATGTTTAAAAATACTAGTTCCTAAATTAATATATTTTAGTTTAAAATAATATTAATACAGTTTACGTACACTCAAATATATGGTTACTTTAACTTAATCAAACCGTTTGATCTATTCCTCGACGATTAAAACGCTAAATCGATGTTTTGATAGAGAGATAAATGATCCGAGTTCAGACTATCAAAACATGCTCCTGTAAAAAACTTATGTTTGTTATTAACTATTCATTAGCAGATGCGAATTCACAATACGAGAGTCAAAGACGGCTGACTCAGCAACAACGGTTGATGGAACAATTGCAACATCAAGTCAAACAGGAGCCAGATGCCAGTGGAGGTCAGTATTCTCTCTCTTTTTCTTTCTCTCTCTCTCTCTCTCTCTCTAGGGACGTGAATCGCATATGGAGTTTCTATCGGCTTGTCTCTTTCTACTGCAGATAGGGATGCAGATAATTGTTTTTTTTTTCTTCTGTAATTTTGTATTGTGGTGCTTTATTGCTGAGTATAAATAAAAATTCCTTTTTGCCTCGCACAACCACATTGTGGAATCACCTTCCAGCAATGGTATTTCCGAACCGATACGATATTGAAACCTTCAAGATTATTCCTTTTTAAAAGTCCGACAACGTACTTGCAATTCCCCTGGTGTTGCGGGTGCTCATGGGCGGCGCTAATCACTTACCATCAGGTGAGCCGCAAGCTCGTAAAAAATAAACGGTTTTAGAGTTAACCTCGAACTATTAAGTACTGAAACGAGAGGCATAAAAATTTATCATCGGTAGTACACATGAAAATATTAAGAAGTTCGGTCATTTCATGTTTAAAGATGTTAGCATTTTCATTTAACACTTCAGCTATTGAGCTAATTCGTAGAAAAGCCGTCTGTGCTAACCTTATACTTTATGTATGGAGTCACAATTGTACTAGCATATAAGCGGTTTGTACTGCCATGTACAGTGACTCGCGTTCGAAGATTATTATTATTAAACTTTTATATAAATTTAATCACTCCATCACTATAATTATAACGTTATTGTTATTTACAGCTTGCGACAGTGTTCTACAACCTCAGGGCAGTCCGTACTACCCACCAGCTGTACACAACAATTTACCAGGTCTGTATTCATTTCAATTCATTAAGGAATATAAATTAATTAAGGATAAAGGAATAAACCTCGCAGCAATGAATTTGCAATGTTACCTTCGTACAGGATTAGATATTCTGTCCTTAAAATTAGTTCAATTTAATGTAATATATATTATACATATTATGGTGATGACCATAGAAGCACGTTATGAGCCCTCGCTATTTGTAATACCCAGAATGTAAGAGAAAGATTGAAATGAATGAATGAATAGCTACTAAGGGAACAAAGCATACATGATTGCGTACTTTACAATCAAATGTTACCTATATAAACTAGCTTATTTCTTTTAAGTATGGTGTAACTGAAATGACATACAAACTAATGACCCACCTGGGGCTAAGTGGCGATTATCTCCCGAATGTACGGACATAAATTTATCAAGAGACATCCGTGTTGTCAATTCAGAGGACTAAGATGTTGTCTCCGTAACCTGCAATTTCACAGCTATGTCTTACCCTGCAATCGAACACAGCTTACAAGACAAGCTGCTTGGCGGCGTGAATAGATGAGATGCGTATTAATACAAGGGTCATTTGTAAAGTTCTTAGCCTAACATGGTTCAAGTCATTGGTTTTTTTTATAACTACCCTCATTTTATAGTTACATTATTTAGCAACAAGTATGCACAGTTTAGTTTATTCACAGCAACTCTTTGTTTGTTTACACGTGATACCGTAAGTCCAGTCAGAGCAATTTTTGAAAATGGATAAAATTGAACATCGTGCAGTGATAAAATACTTTAATTTGATAGGTTTAACTCCAAAAGCTATACATGAAGCCTTGTCTGCTACTTTGGGGAAGTCCTCTTCTTGGTATGCGACTGTTAGAAAGTGGGTGACAGTGTTTAAACGTTGTCGTGAGACCATTCAAGATGACCGTAGTGGCCGGCCTTCGACTGCTTCCACTGATCAAAACAAAGAAAAAATCTGTGATTTAAATTTATCTGATCGAAGATTGACTGTCGAGGAGCGATGAGCTCGGAGGAGAGTATGTTGAAAAATAAAAATAAACTCAAAATCGTGTGGTTTCATTAAGTATGTTAGGCTAAGAACTTTTCAAATTCAAACCCTCGTACTTTGTACAAAGACTGGTGACCTGTGGTTATTGTTCAGATTCTGGATAAGTCTGCATATATCATAACTTGTAAAACAGTACAAATTTTTTAAATCATTTTGTTACCTGTGGATTTTTACTATAGGTAGACTGTAAATAGTCGTATGCGTGGGTTCTACAGTCTACACTTATTTTAGCCGCCAAGCAGGTTGCTTAGTAAACTATGTTTCAGATATAGGCTGCGCAACTAATCAATCAAATTACAGACATGACATCTCAGTCTCCTGGAATGACAATGCATGAGTGGTATCATATGTGTCACATGATAACATTATGTTATGTAGTGCTCATTCATTCATAAGAGCGACGCTCTTGTCGGTGGAGCTCTTGCCACTTTCTACATTCTTGCATCATACTCTTAAACCTCGATACGACACGACTCCAGTTCTGTTTTTCATATGCTTGATGTAGCTGTGCCTTGGTCTTGCTCTCCCCCTTTTTCCTTCTAACTTTCCCTCAATAATAACTTTCATAAATTCATCGTGCCGTATCAAGTATCCTGACATGTAGAGCTATTCATGTACAAAGGCGATGGTTACAGGTTACCATCAGGTGGTAATTACTAAAAGGGAAATATTTGCTTCAAACACAGGTGGGTTTTACGAGGGCGCGTCGAGGCCGGGCCCCGAGCTACTCATTGCCAAGCAGAATGCACTCGCAGCACACACGCAACTTTGTAAGTACTCAATTTGTATTTTTGTGTTGTTTATACATACATTTTACAATATTTATATAATATATGTATAGTATATTAATTCGTTTAGCACACCGCGTTCTTTCGACTGTCGCGGGTTCGATTCCTCGAAGGGCACAAACATTTGTTTTAATGAGTATGGTTGTTTGGTCTGGCTGTTTTCGATGTACATATAATATGCATGTATTCATGAAAAAATGTGTATATATGTATATTGTAAATGTATATAATGTATGTATCGGTTATCTAGTACCCTTAACACACAGCTTTAGCTAGCTTAACTTGGGTCTAGATGGCGCTGTGTGAAGTACTGAGATTATTATTATTATTACACTTTACGTAAATACATAAGTAACACATACAAATATTTTTGGATCTGTATAACTGTAAAAGGAGTTATTTTTATACTTCAAATTATTGATAATCGGGTTTCTTAATCGATTTTAACCACTTTATGATAAGATATAATTACACACAAAAAGAATTATATACAATCAGTTAATACATTATTTATGTCCTAGCTGTTTGTATGCTTCATATATCATTATTTTGATAAAAAGTCATGTATGCTATATTAAATAAGATAAGTATAACCAGACAGACAATAAGATGTTCACACGCCGTCTTATAAGTATGTACTTAATAAACTCTACCCAGCATCTTGCAGCTATGTAAGTAAACATGTAGGACTCACATCCAACTCTATAAAAACATGAAATACCACTCACATGTAACTCTGTAAGTACATAAAATACGCACACACCTGGCTCTTCTAACTTCGAACTTCATGAATATCTTTGGAATACTACTGTTATAACGACAAGATGAACTTTGGTAGGGCAGTAGGGCACTTGAAAGTGATGTAGAGAGATCGCTTGATTTGAATTCTACAGTCGACGTATACAGGCCTTATAGAAGTACACACAGTCCCTAATTCTTCTCTAAGCACTCACATAATCATATGTAAAACTCGATTCTAAATCTTTTTAATAATTTTCGTCAATTAATTAATGAAATCATTTTTAGTAAAATTTTCAAATTCACAATAAAACTCGTAAATTAAATTATATATATTTCTAAACAATCGTTATGTATGTTTCCAGGGCAGAACACAATGAAAAGACCATTTTTCTACAGCGAGAGTCCGCCTTACAACACGCCGCAAATACTACACAGATATGAGGTACGATCTGTTTGAGTTTGTTTACAAGTCAGTTCGAATTACCTACGGCACATAATTATGTCGTATAAAAAGGTCATGTTAATGGTTTTCAATCTGTCATTTCGCAATAAAACCATAACAACTTTTTATATAACGGTTAAAGAAAAGTCATATGTATAGAGTCATACACAAATAGAAGGCGAACCACATTGATGAACTATGAATGACAGCTAATACAATAGATGGAAGACAAAACACATAATACGTTAAATATCAAAATAAAAAATGTGATATCATAAATATCTCATTTTATATGTTAAACACAATTTAAACTTAAGTTATATTATTTTAATTTCAGGACGTATCTAGAATCCTCCAGTGATGAGGGACATTCCAAAGGTGATAAAAAATATATAAAAAGAAGAAAAAAATTCTCGACGATAATCTCTCAGCATTTTATAATAATATATTTTTATTGTATAAATTATAAAGAGTGTGTGCGGCCGCTGTGGAATTAAACGTATTGTTATTAGTAATTTTTAGCACAGTATAGATATATAATTATTTTTTCTTACTCTTTAAATTCGCTACTTTATTGAAATTAACTATGTCATTCAAAATATACACAAAGAGATAGTTTTATAAATAACTTAAGGTTTCAAAACATTGCCAGTAAACCTGCTCTGACGGCAATGTGACGAATCTTTAATACCAGATGACTTCTTTACATATCCGTTTTGATGTTAGTCACTAACAAATTTTATAAATCTAGCATTCGATATGGGGAACCCTAGATAGTCAAGTGGTCCCCGTCTTAACTGTCTCTCTGTTATTTTATGTAAGTATGTTTTATAGTCGAATTTACTTATTTTTATTACATGAAAGCGGCCGCACACTCGCACCGCGCGGTCCCAGTTTCTGTTTCTGGGCCAACGCGGTGCGCTATATTAAAATTGTACAAATTACTATAAAGAAAATTTTGTGCTTTCATTTTTTTCTTCATTGTACAGATTAATTTTTAATAATAATGTTATAATCGGTAACAATATTGTGTGCCGTATATAAATAGTGAAAAATATTAGAATAGTGTAATTTGTTTTTTTAAATGGCTAATGCAAATTATTATCTTCCTATATGCTTGCCCGATACCTTAAAATCATGACCCGATTATATAGGTGTTGATCACTACGTAATTATGGGTATAATGCCTCTTTTTACCTATTGGTAGACACTAATAAAATAAACATACAGACAGCGCACTTGCTTTTAATCTAGATAATAATTCGAACAGTATTTTCGAATCCAGCAGTAAAATATATAGTCTATGTTTCCACACTATTCATATACAGCACAGAACAATCATAAATAAATATAACACTGTTGCCATTTTTTATAGTTTTTTTAATATTATTTTCTATAGGGCAATTGTGAAATGAAATGTTGACTGTCAGAAAGTTAAAAGAAATGTAAACTAACGGATACAATTGTTTTAATGTACATTTTGCAGATGTAATCCTCTTAATAGCTCAGAATGCGTCCTATCACTCACCCAATTTCACCTTGTAGTAATACAATACAGTAGTACTACTGTGTCGGGTTCTTTTAGATCAATTTCAGTAGTAAAATTGGGTTGACTCATTGCCAAATTGTTTAACTCTCAAATATATCCAATTTACACTTCATTCTCTTACACAAGATTTTAAGCGAAGTCTCCTTTAAAACATTTATAAGATTATGACTGTTCTCCACTTAAAAATATTAACTAATGTATGAGAAAATTGGATATATGAAGTCCTGGCATTAAAAAAAATATTTATCTTTTAATTTCAACTTCTAGAATTTGCCAGTTCGTATTAAGTGTTGCCCTATACCAAATATGTTTCTTCTAAATCTGATATGTTGTTTAGTTTAAGGTATGTTGTTTTTATTATATAAAAATCTATATATTTATGCGTAATAGTTTTAATCGAATAGTTACCATGTATAGGTTTGGTTTGCCATTCAGTGTCAGTTTCAGGCATATCGATAACTGTTCATACCCTGTTACCGCCGGAACTTTCCTGTAGTATATAATAAATTCATAATAAATGCAATGAAATATAAAAAAGTTTGCGCGATTTTATAAATATTATTTCGCGGAAGCAGCTTTTTTAGACGTGAATCATGATTTTTCATAATCATGTATATATATTTATATTTTATGAAGTCTATATAATGTTATGTCTGAAAATGAATGCTATTTACTTAATAAATGTGGTGGTCACATATTTTCTTTTAATTTGAATAGTAAATATCACTATAATAAAAATGTTTTACGGTTCACCATACATTTTTATTGGTTAAAACTAATAATAACATATACCTAGAGAGACAGGACGAGGACCGATTTCAATTTTGTACAAAATAATGCGTTATCTCTAAAATAAAATATATTTAAAGATGGTGTCCAAAAATTGGTCGTTTGTTGTAGAAATGGCGTCAATATTTCGCCAATAACTGTAAAAATTGTACCCAAATTTGTATGCAACGAGTGGCCGCCACCAAACGATATAAATATGGGACTTGATAAAATCATTAGAACAGTGATATTTTATCGAATTTACGTGGCAATTATATGAATGGGGTAGTTGTAAGGATACTGTAATGTTTTGTTAATTTTGAATCGTCACAACATGTCAAAAAATGGAGTCTTGCCAAAGTTTTTCGTTTCGTGTCGGATTTCGGTCCTTTGTACATAGACGTTGGGTTACACCACTAATGTAGTTGTTTGATGTATTTGCAGTTAGATAAAGTTGGCAATAACATGTTTTATTTCGTAACCCTAATTTCCTCACAAATATTTATTACTGTTATATTTTCGTAACTGACCTAACTTGGCTTCTATAATAATCAACAATGCACAGACAGTTGTTCACAGATATACGTAGATAATATATGCTGTTAGTTTGTTGTGACGCAATAACTATAGTGTTACGTCATCAAAGTAAAAAGACGAATGTTTAGTTTACAAATCTAATTTAGCTTACAGCTTTGCTATTACTAAGTAATACAATAATCATAATTATATATAGTTTTTTCTTCTAGTTGCGTTGGGGTTTGCAATCTAATGAATTTTATCTTTATACCGGGTATAACTGAAAGCGTATCTATCTGAAATACAGTTATAGTTATCATTGACCATATCAGAATAATATGAAAAGAATTTCTGGATAATTGCTCAAAAAAGGTGTAATATATTGAAATTATTACTTTTGTATTGATGGATATTAATAATAATTAAATATAAATATGAAAATCGTAAAAATAAAAATATTTGAAACATTGCAATAATTAGTACTGTGTTACAATATTACGTAACTTTGTTATACAAACTTGGCATATTGAAAATACCATATGACTGCTTTTTTATACATACGCTTTCCGTTACGTCCTATATATGTATATATGTATTTGTACCTGGAGATATATCTTGAACTTATGAATTATAAAAATTGTATTCTAATTTTCTATTAATAAATACAATATAACGCTTTTGTGTTTTAAAAAGTCTTCGAAACTCGCTGTATTACTATGTCAGCTGTATTTTATTTCAACTATAAAATTATAAAAAAATATGATATCTAAGATATGATTAGACGAATGTGCAAGGGAAATAGGATTGTCCTTAATGTAGATATTTTTTTTTTCAATCAATTTAGATTACAAACAGGTGCAAACTAGAAATGCTATCTGATAACATAGGACTACAGCTGGTTTGGAATAAAATGCTATATTAAGTATAAAATTATTTCTATATATTTTTAAGAGTAAAAATTATTTAAGTAGCAATGGATAATCATATTAAATAATAATTCCTTATTATAAAAGTGCACTTGTTTTGAACGACCCGCCGTCGATGTACAAACGGCCTTACGGATTCAGTCATTTAGGTTTAAAATCATTAAAGTTTAAGTCTTCAACGAGAAAATTTGTGAATGGGAGGGTGTGCTCGTTGGGCCAACTCCTCAGTTATTTTTGGTGCTGTATTTTCTTTCCGAATTGTCTGCATTTCTTCATAGATTACGTAAAATTACTGATGATAAATCATTGAGACATGCAAGTGTGCTGGGCGTACGTAAACATGGAAAATAAACATTGAGACGTGCGCGGTGTACTTGGTATTCGTGAATATATATTGTGAAACGTTATGAATATTCCTGTTGTACGATCAGCAACGAATATTAGGTTCTGATCATAACCGATGTGTTCTTTCGAGCGCGGACGCTGAACTGTGAGATAACTGAATAGAATCAAGATTAAATTACAAAGTTACAAATACCTAAGATTTAGTCGACAGTATATTATTTAAAACATTTTAATATGGACTTTACCGATAATATCTATCTATCATTTGATATCGAGTTGATCGATTTTACACCGTCATGATCGGAAACAAAGAAACCAATCATTAACATTGGTACACACAGATGATAGATATACTGTATCTATTATTAATATATAGGTACATTAAACAGGTACTAAGTGTAACTCGCAGTTTTCACCGTGCGATAAAATATATATGAGTATCCCAATTGATATTGGGCAACAAGGTTAAACTATGCATGCGTGTCCGTTTCGTTGTGATTATCCACGGCTAAAATGTTGGCCTTTGTTTAGGTCAAGAGCGTGATAATAATAAATAGTTTCACGGTAATAAGCAATAAATAATTCATTAAAAAAATATTCAAAATGCAGTTGATGTACTGCTAATTATTTAAGAGGATCGTGTTATTCGTGCCTTCAAATCGCGAAGTTATTATTTGAATAGTAGGTACACATAGCATGTCTCAAGTAGTCGGATAATTAGGGAATTGCTTGAAACATATAGTCTGAACTAATTTGGTGACAATTTTAGATGCAGCAATATTGCAATTATGTACAAATAGTATGAAGGCATTGTGAATTTGTTGGTATTAGTTAAAATTTTAAACATCATATTTATCACTATTGTAATCTTATATGACGTTGGGTAACTTTAAATTTCTTTTGAGATATTCGGAGTACAAACGGAATAAATTTTCTTATTTTATATATTAAAAATATATATATTCTGCAAATAATATGTGCAATCAAATATTGTAAGATTGACTTAATGGTAACAATAATTCATATACTTTTATTTATTGCTTTATATTTGTGGTATATATATTTTGTTGAGTACATTACATAAATTTCTTATATCACTAAACGTTTTCTCTAATTTAAAGTTATCCAGAGTAACAAGTACGCGACTCGTCGCAGCTGTGGTCGACGTTAGTTGCAATTTGTGGCAAGCGATTCCTCGTCGACCGACAAGTCCTGAGTACAAACATACATAATTCGTACGCACACATCGTGTAGGTGGATCGCTAGTTTTTCTTTTTTTTTTGTAAGGTTTTTCGTATATTATTTACTATTATTTACCATAGAGTTAAGGTATTGTTAAGGCATGCGGGAAGGTAGATATATTTTGAACATTGCTAGAGCGTGCATATTTTTTTTTTCAATACGACAACTTTTGTCATCCAGGAAGGGGTCATTGTTTTTTTTATAAAAAGTTTATATAAAAAAATGTATATTATTTTCGTTCATATTTTTTAGAAAAGATATTTTTACATTATGACATTATATTTTGAAATGTACGCTCTAAATAGACCAAAGCTGTGAATAACTTGATGTAATGATCGTTGATAAGACAAAAAAAATAAAATATGCTTTTACATAAATCACGTGTGTCATTCTTATACTTACGCTTGACGCATATCGTACCTTAATACAGTCTGCATTAACTAAAAATTATGTTTTTTGGAATTACACTTTAAATTTAAAACTTTAGAGATGATTTCGATTAATAATATGGTAGAACAAAAAAAGTGAAATTATTCCATTCAACTTCTGAGATCAGTATGTGATCAAATATAAAAAATATTATTTTGTATTTTACATATGAATACTACAACTACAATAAAACAGATTAATGTAAAACATTGATAAACTATATTTATTCATAATACTCTTAGTAACTTAATTTTATTTATATACATATCACACAGTTCCTTTTTTATTATGCTCGATCTCTCAATAGTAGGTATGGCAATTATAATTAATTACTGATAATATACAATTTGTCGTTGTTAGTAACATATATGCCCTACGCGTTTCGAAAGATGTTTATATTTACAGACCAAGTTCACTTTGAGAACGCTAAGCGAACTAATTTAATATAAAATTCTTTTTTTTTCCGCACTCAGTTTCGTACAACCATTTATTCTTGACGGCGAATTATAAAAATGTAAAATTTTTCGAAATCGTACTGCTAATACGTCACAATATAGCAGTAAAACAGTTCTATTCTTGTCCCGATAGCATTACCCTATGACATTCTTTTTGATTAGGGCAACTGTATGCTTCGAGTGCCTTGCTCCTCATGTAATTCCTGTACCAATTCCGCCAATTCTCCTGCCCCATAGCCAAGTAATTGCCTCAGATCGCAAACAAATTTGTACACGAACCTGTAAGAAATGAAAATAAAATAAAATAAAATAAATAAAAATAAAATATATTTATTTATGTACACAACACATACAGTTTAATGTAAGCAACAGGGATGCCAACCGTACAAGGATTCTCTTACATATACGAGATTCGTACAACAATTTTTTTTTATTTTTTCACTGTTCATTACAAGTTTACATATGCTTCTTAACTGCAGAGATAGGGGCTATTTTGTCGTAACAAATTAATTGTGTATCATAACTGACGGTTTCGATAGTCTAGCAGTTTACCACACAGCTTTACTCCAGACGCGGGTTCGATTCCTCGCACGGTGCACATATTTGTATTTTCGATTATGATTGTTTGTATCCGGTGTTTTTTTTTTAAGTTCGATATTGGAATGGTGCACCCGCCTGCGCTAACGGTATACGCTGGCGGGGCACCAGTGGTGGATCATAAGATGAGCATGAGGTCAAGTCAGTTAGCCCATTGTGACAAATTCACCAAGAATTTATCACGATGGTTTCTAGGGGGAACCGCGTGGAGGTCAACCTGACATGGTACATTGCTAGAAATATGATCAGTTCACATTACTAACAATTCCCTTTCCGCCCTGTATCGGGTGTTTTGTGTGTGATTTTTTCTAGGTTAGTATTGTTGTTATAAATATGTATTTAATATATTATATATCCTTCTCAAAAAGGTACAAATAGTCGTTACATCCAAAAGATTCTCGATTGTAACATTGCTATAAACTAAATACATAGCAATAGATACCTCTTGCCGGCCACTTTGGCGATCATGTCCCCGTCATAGTAGTATCGCAGGGCGCGTGATAACTTCTCGTAGTTCATGGCGGGTTTGTGTTTGCGAGCACCCCACAAAGCCGCCACCCGCTCCGGCTCTAGCAGCTTGAATTCGCCTTCAGACCCTGTTATACATGTAAATTTTACTACACACTCGCCTTGTCACCGAAACGCAGTTTACAAAGCAAGCTTGGCGGCTTAAATAGGGCAGACTGGAGTATTCAAGCAGATACGTCTGCTTGAGTACTCAGCAAGTAAGCATCAGGCAGCTTGCTTTGTAGGCTGTATTTCGGTCGATTTTACAGTCTACTTCAGTAAAGTCTTAATTTTTACAATAAGTTATGATGTTCTGTGGGGATATACCGTGCCATCGTATGAGGTCGAAGTGTTGCGGACTAGTGAGCAGTTCAAGGAGGAATTGCCACAGCTGCACCTGCCCGTTGTTTCCGTTGCGTGACGTCACACTCGGCCCTGCCTCCTCCACGCCACGCACGCCAGCATTCACCTTCATGCAAATTGTACGGACTAAATTTTCTTATGTAATTAGTGCGGCAAATAGGCAAGGTCATGGTGGTAGGGAAGTGTTGATTATTTACTAGGTATGACCATGTCGGCTAGACCTTCAACTTAGTTGGAAACCATCGTGATAAATTCCTAATGAATTTGTCAAAATGAGCTAAATAACTTGACCTCATCTTCCTCTGGCCCGCCAACATAAACCGGCAGCAGAGGGGCTTTTTTTTAATGGATGAAAATGGAATGGATATTCCATTTTCATCCATTAAAAAAAGTAGGCTAAATTATACGAGTAGAGGAAGACCAAAAAAGGGATGGATTGTATGAAAGATGATATGGCAAGAAAGGGAGTGAGTAACGAGATGACTGCAAACAGGAATGAATGAAAAGAAATATATATATTACGCCGACCCCAAATTAATGGGATAAGGAACAAGGAGGATTGCTAGCTAGGATGTACCATGTTAGCTCGGAAACCTTTATAAATTCCTAGTGAATTTGTGACGATGGTCTAACTTTGTAGTCGAAGAAACGAGCGCTCCCATATTCCTAAAGTACGTAGCCGTGGCCACACAACATACACATATCCTCGGAACGGTGAGGTCGCTCTGTGAAGTCTGTCTAGGCTTCAGCGCTTCTGAGAGGAGCTTGGCTGGCTTTTAAGGGCCTGTTTTTTTTTATTCATATTATTATATCGCGGAGATTACATCTCAAGTTAAGCAGAGTTATGGGTAGATACCATCGTAATAAATTCTCGATGAATTTGTCACTTGGCTAACTAACCTGACTTCATATTCATCTTATCATCCTCCACTGGTACCTCACCAGCGTAAACCGTTAGTGCAGACGGATGCACCATTTCATTATCAAGCACAAAAAAAACATGCCGTCAGTCTCGTGTGTGTATATGATTAAACTGTGATTAAGACCTGGAAACTATGGTTATTAATTACTGATAATTTTAGTATAATACACTAATAGATCTGAGTTCTTCCACAGATGCTCCATCTGCATATACTATGAAAATATATAGGATGGATCTATTGTGTCATATAAAGATTAAAATGGCGATGCCAGTCACAAATTGTAAAAATGCATACCGGCTTGGGTTTCCTCTTAATTGCGGACTGCGGCGCCTCTAGCTGATCTTTCATAGGTTCGTCATTTTGCACCACAGCTGGACATACAAGATTTATAAAGACACATACATAAGATTTATAAAATTTAACAAAGAAGGAGATAATGTAAAGATTTTTTCCGCAGTGGAGTCAGGATAAAATCTGATGACTTGCTGATGAGATTTGAAGATCAATGATGTAGGGATGATATGCTTCCAAGTTGAATACAAATATACTTAGTTGACAATAAAAAAAATCTCTTATATAACTGGAGTAGTAAATGAGCTGACGACCCACTTGGTGTAAGTGGTAACAGTCGCCCATGAACATGAATCACGTCATCAATACCATCATGTGACGCTAGTGCTATCCGGCCGTCTCATGTTTTCATGCCATGTAGTTTCACTTCCTTATGTCACTCTTCAACAGCTTACAAAACAAGCTGCTTAGAGGCTGAAATAAGTGCGACAAAGGTGTATCTAAAAAAAACATGCATATGTTATGCATACTAAAACTGCACTAATTGGTTATAGCCTATGAGAATTACAGTCAATACTTTATTTATTTCAGTAGCATATATCGTTTATTTTTTAACGTCTTTGAATGTCGATAAGGATTTATTACTGGTCGGGCATCACGTTTCATTTCGTACGTTTGTACATTCTTAGATGGTAATGAAACGACAGCTATATATAAATGTTCTTCTCAGGTTTTTATAGCACATTGACCCATATTTAACCACATACTCAGTAAAAATATTTTAGGTCCAACGTTATTATTCGCTCGTCATGCTTTTATTATATGGAAATATGTATCAAACATTACAAACTTACCAATAAATTTACACTTGCGAAGCAACTCGAAATGTGTCCAGAATAGATCTCCAGGGTCTGATGGAACTTTTTCCCTAAAACAATTATGATGAAGTTGTTTTTAAACTTTAGTGTTTAATGCACATTATTTATATTGTTAACCAAGTCTTAACACCAATTATTTAATAGTAAATAAAGGTCTTTACCCCTCTTGATATTACTTCATCATTTATTTATTGTAATAAATCTAAGAGTTTTTTTTTATGTAATTGGAATAGCAAACAAGGCGACCTTCTATTTGACCAGTAAGTGGTAAGCTACACCTATATACATGAACAGTACCTCGGATATTACGTAATTACGTGACACCCGTGATGTTCTCTGACTCATGCCATTCTGGGTCACTAAGATGTTATGCCCCGCATCCTGTAATTTTACTGCCCTATCTTGACCGTTTTACTGGTGTTTAATGCGAACTAAAGACAATTAAAACTCCAGTACCCGTGCAGGCAAGATTTTCGAAAACTACGCAAAAAAATCTCGGTAAAATCGCATTCGAAATCTGCTATTCCATAAAATAATAAATATTTTTAATAATAAGGTTCTAAGCCCATAAAAAATTAAAGTTAAGTCTTTATGATGCATTATTTTTTTTGTAACGGCATGGTTAATAAGCTGAGACCCCACATGATAACAAGTAGCAACCATTGAGTATATACATGGACGAGACTATGAACATCACGTCATCATATGATGCCCGTGGTACTCCTTAAGCACTGCCATTCTTGAGGATTAAAGTAACATGCCTCCATACCGCGTAATTTCATCGCATATTTATTAATACATAATTATACGATTGTATACAAGTACTTAAATTTATCGCCAACTGTAACCGATGATACAAACACAACCTGCTGTCCACCAAAATTTTGTTGAAAACCGGGAAGCAGGTATTTAGAAATGAAAAGTACACCAACTTGAATTGTGCGTTTGTTAGCGCGCAGAGTTCAGGCCCAGTGAGTTGCCAGTCTGCGAGACGAACTCCGGCCAGATTGAACTGTCTTACCGCCCACACCACCCATAGCTTCACGTGCTGTACCGACCTGGAACACACCACATTCATATTTACTAGGTTTTTAAAGCTACATAAATGTTTCTTAAGGGAGGCAACGCGCATGTGGCACCCGTGGCATTTCAGGCGTCCATAGGATACGGTAACCGTTTACCATCAGATATGCCGTATGTTTTTTTGCCACTGTCGTAGTATAAAAAGACTCGCCGTTAAGAAAACGAGGATTTCTAAATAGGTCAGTATAGGGGTTTGTATTATTAGTAGCGGACCGGGAAGACGTGTTTCTGTCCAAAACTAACATACCGACAGCAGCGCCACCTACCGGGTCCAATTGTTTTCAAATTATCCATGAACCTATTGACACATACATACAATCATCATCAGCATCATTCAAATATATGCAGCTGTTTAGGAGGATAAATCCCTCCCAGGGGCATACACACGTACTGAATAATTGCATGAAATTCACCACATTCTACTCTTGAACTTAGTATTTTGACACTGAAGTTGTTTACTTCAGCTCTTCTGTTGACTCTTTGGTATTATAGAAAAATGGGATATTTTACATAAAAAGATCAAATATTATAATGCACTTTTTTCATGATCTAGTATTTGTATTCCACCGAATAGTAGAAAAAGCAGAAGGATACCGAATAGAAGTAGTAGCAAGTGAATTAAAAGTAGCGAGACCATTGCGCTGGGTCGTCGGGCACCTTCACTCGGTGGTCGCTTTTGAACTGCGCGTCTACCACCCACTTGACGGCGGCGGCGTGGGGAATACACGTTTCGTCCGACTCCACCTCTGTTATCAAAGCTTCTTCTGCCACTGTCTCCACTTCTGTCTCTGCTTCTGCTTCTTCTACAATAGGTTCCTCCAGTTCAATGTCTGAAAAAAATATAAATATTGCCCTTATTTATAACAAATATTGTATGTTATGGCAGTAATATATGAGTCTTCTTATGTTTATACTCGACTAGTTAACCCGCGTAATTTTACCTGCATTACATTTTCCCCATTTTTGCAACATTTTTCATTGCTGTTGCTCTTCTATATGTTAATGCCTTGGTCGATAAATAAACTATTTAACACTTAATTTTCAAATACGAATCAGTAGTACTATACAACAGTACTCCAGTACTGTGTGTAATATTGCTATAGACGCCACACGTAAGTGATTGTGTTTTTTATTATTTAAATTAAATAGATCTTATTTATTAGTGTACTGTAAAAAAAAACATTTCCTATATACCAATATCTGATAAGCACTGTGTTAGAATCCATATGATATATATGGTGGACCTCAATAAATTTTAGACTTACATTGGGTGTCAAGGTCATTGGGGATTTGCACCATCTCCTCATCAGGTTTTAGAACGTCCAGAATATTGATCTTGCGGTCTGCGGCACGCACTTGAACGTTGACCTGCACCACACCCTCGCCGCGAATGCACTGCTCAACCAGCGTCTTATGGTTCTCCAACTGTTTAAACGAGAACAGAAATAGAAATAATCTTTATTCAAATAAACTTAATATAAGCACTTTTGAATAGTCAAGTTTTTTTATTCTACCGCTTATTCGGAATGCAAATTCATCACAAGAAGAATAAGCAAGAAACTTGTGTGTTGCTCTTTTAAATAAATATTGATTTATTTATATTTAAATAACAACAAGGATTAGGCATGCAACAATCAACATAGAAACCGCTACGCACTTAATCTCTGTTCAAATAGATAACATTGTCAGCGCTATGAATTTTAAGTTAGATATTTTCTACAAAAACATTATTATCATTTATATTTTTTCTTCAATTTTATAATAAGCTTTTTTTACAAAGAAAATCTTTTATGACACATTTGAATTTTTTTTCTGGCAAATTGACTACAGACTCTGGGAGTTTGTTGTAAAACCTTACGCAATTTTCATAAAACGAATTACTGACTTTCGTCAAACGGCACTTAGATAAAACTAGTTTGACATTAATGTTAGTTAATGTTTTTGAAGATTTTTTTGCTAATATTCCGATTAATATTACATCTTCTCTGGACTCATCTCCATCTCGAGCAAAAATATTACTAGAGTCTAATATCGGTTGTTGTGCTTTAAGATTTAAATTTTCACATGTTAGCCCCGTTCATATCATAAAAATATTCAAACATCTAAATTTAAAAAATACAGAAGACCTTTGGGGCATGTCTGTAAAAGTAGTTAGTTCTTTCATAGATATTGTTGCTCCATATCTAGCTACTATTTTTAATAAATGTATTGATAATGGGACTTTTCCACAATTAATGAAATTTAGCAAATTAATCCCACTATTTAAATCAGGAGATAAATTTGAGCCAGGGAACTATAGACCTATATCTATTTTGCCAGTTCTAAGTAAGGTGTTTGAAAAGATAATGTTAAATCAAATGTTACAACACTTCAGGGATAACCGACTGCTTCACAGTCAACAATATGGTTTCACCGCCGGCAAGTCTACCACTGACGCAGGTGTAGCGCTGATAACACATATTTTCCAATCATGGGAGAAGTCACAGGATGCACTCGGAGTTTTTTGTGACCTATCAAAGGCATTTGATTGCGTTAAACACAACAACACAAACATTATGGTATAAAAGATAATGATCTAAAATTAATGAGAACTTATTTAGAGGATAGGGTCCAAACTGTAGATATTGACGGTATAAAATCTAAGGGAGCTAATATTGGGATGGGCGTTCCACAAGGGTCAATCTTAGGCCCCTTTCTCTTTTTAATTTACATAAATGACCTTCCCTTTATGGTAGAGAAAATTGCAGATATAGTGCTGTTTGCGGATGATACTTCGTTAGTGTTTAAAATTGGACGTCAAACTAATCAATTAGACGATGTAAATTGTGCTATGTCTGCTATATTAAATTTGTTTACATGTAATAACCTATTATTAAATTCCAGCAAAACAAAGTGTATAAAATTTACACTTCCTAATGTAAGACCAATAAATACACAGTTATTGCTTAATGACGAAATAGTAAATTTTGTTAATGATACAGTTTTTTTAGGTATAACAGTGGACTCGAAATTACAATGGGGGCCCCATATTTCAATATTGGCCAATAGACTCAGTTCAGCTGCATATGCAATTAGAAGAATTAGGCAATTAACAGACGTGGCGACGGCTAAACTTGTATACTTTAGTTATTTCCATAGCATTATGTCATATGGTATACTACTATGGGGTAAAGCAGCCGATATAAATACTATATTTATTTTACAAAAGAGAGCCATACGTTCTATTTATGGTATGGGTTCAAGAGAGTCATTACGTCAGTGTTTTAAAGATTCAAATATCCTCACCGTTACTTCACAATACATTTATGAGAATATCATGTATACACGGAAGAATTTAGACAGTTTTAGAAAACTTAAAGACTGTACAAATAGAAACTTACGCAATAAAAATAAGCTAATTTTACCTAAATGCCGCCTGCACAAAGTCAGTAATTCATTCTATGGTAATTGCGTAAGATTTTATAATAAACTGCCAGAATCTGCACTAAATCTGACAGAGAGGCAATTCAAATCTTATATTAAACAATTTTTATGTAAGAAAGCCTATTACAGGATAGACGAATTCATAGAAGACAACATATCAAGTAAATAATTAGTTTATTAGCATACAACGTTATAATTTGTTTATCTCATTGCTTTCTTGATTCAATTATTTTAGAAATATGAAAGCGTAGCGGGTTTTGTATTAATTGCCGCATGCATTCTTATGTGAAATGTGAATACTATAAATATCAGATGGCAATTGTGAGTAGCTATGACGTGGTCTGGTGTTTTGAGTAGTCATGCTCACTAAAATGTCCAGACTTGTGGCGGCGTGGTGGGCCGGGTCATTGGGCTCCCTAAAATATGGTCGAGCGCAGTGATGGCTGGCTCATCCGTCATACTCGTGAACGGGTGCTGCTTGTAGGGACTGGTCTGCTCTAATCACTATGACTGATTTCCTCTTATTAATTGTTTAACCAGTTGGTTATGTATTCAATATTTTTTTCTTTTTGAGTATTTAATTGAATTAGTGCTAATCGGTGGTTTGTATTCACACACTTAAACTTAAATTGTAAGTAAGAATAAATTATTTAAAAGAGCAACACACAAGTTTCTTGCTTGTTCTTCTTGTGATGAGACAGCATTCCGAATGAGCGGTAGATTAAAAAAAAAATGTTATGACTATTCAAAAGTGCTTCAATGTAAGTTTATTTGAATAAATGATTTTCTATTTCTATTTCTATTTCTATTACGTAAGCTTTTATTAGTGTAATCACGTACTCTTTTAAAACTGTTAATGTTTTTCCTGGCATACATAATATTTTCGTAGATGTATTGAGAAGCAACGGCGAGGATATTTGATTCTTTAAAACATTCACGCAAAGACTCCCTGGAACCCATACCGTAAATGGAGCGGATGGCCCTCTTTTGCAAAATAAATACTATATTTATATCAGCTGCTTTGCCCCATAATAAAATACCGTATGACATAATGCTATGAAAATAGCTAAAATACACGAGTTTAGCTGTTGCCACGTCTGTTAATTGTCTAATTCTTCTTACCGCATAAGCGGCAGAACTAAGTCTATTCGCCAATTTAGAAATATGAGCACCCCATTGCAGTTTGGAGTCTAATGTGATACCAAGAAATACAATATCATCAACAAAGTTAATAAGTTTATTGATCAGTACGATTTTTGAATCAACCTTCCTTACATTGGGGAGCGTAAATTTAATACACTTTGTTTTATCTCTATTTAATAGAATATTATTAGAAGCAAACCATTTTAAAACAGAAGAGAGTGCACTGTTTACTTCTTTCATATCATCAATATGTCGATTGACTTTAAATATTAATGAAGTATCATCGGCAAACAGAACTATGTCTGCTATTTTTTCTACCATGTAAGGAAGGTCATTAATGTAAACTAAAAATAAAAAAGGACCAAGAATAGACCAAGAATCCCTGAGGAACACCCATTTTAACACTGGAACCTCCGGACCTTACACCATTTATTTCAACAATTTGCATTCTATTATCTAAATAGGATTTCATCATCTTTAGAGTTTCATTTTTAATACCGTAATGTTCTAGTTTGAGTAAGAGTGTTTCGTGATCAACGCAATCAAATGCTTTTGAGAGGTCACAGAATACACCAATAGCATCCTGAGAGCTCTCCCAACAGTGAAAAATGTGTTTCATTAAAGCTACACCAGCGTCAGTAGTTGATTTACCGGCCGTGAAATCAAATTGCCGACTGTGAAGCAGTCTATTTGTTTTAAAGTGTTGAAGCATTTGATTGAGCATAATTTTTTCAAACACTTTACTTACGTACTGGTAAGATAGAAATGGGCCTATAATTACCTACTTCAGTTTTATCCCCTGACTTAAAAAGTGACGTTATTTTACTATGTTTCATTTAATTGGGAAAAACTCCTTCAGAAATACATTTGTTAAAAATAGTTACTAAATATGGAGCAAGAATGTCTATAGAAGTATTAATAACTTTAACTGACATACCCCAATGATCTTCCGTATTTTTTAAATTTAATTGTTTAAAAGTTTTCGTTATTGTAGCTAGGCTAATATATGTAAATTTAAATGTAATAGGACAAGAAACAATATTATCAATAAGAAATGATTTAGCTATACTTGTAGATGATTCCAAAGAAGAAGTAATATTAATTGGAATATTGGCAAAGAAATTGTCAAATGTGAGATAATTGAGTGTGATATTGGAAATAAAAAGTGAGATATTGGAAATAATCTTACTAATATTACAAAGGCGAAAGTTTGTGAGTATGGATTGATGGATCTGTGGCAAAAACTACTGAATGGATTTTGATTTTGAAAACATAGGCTATATTTTACAAAGATATTATGTAAATTGGGCGAAATATAATGATAAATGTCAAGAAGCAAGATACATAAGAAATAGCGTAAGAAAGTAAATAAAGATATAAATAAGAGAAAGAATATAAAGATAAAGAGGCCTGACATCTTAACCACTGGAATATCAACGCACCATTGTTATCCTGAGTGTCACATAATAATGTTATGGCTGTAGCACAGTATGTATAGGGATGGTTACCACTAACCATGAGCTGGGTTGTCAGCTTCTCTACCATTCCAATTACATACATTAAGAAAAAGATATGGATTAATTGCAAAAAATTGAAATTTATAGTGCAATCAGAGACCTAAGGATTACAACATTAATATTTTTTAATATATTCATGAAAGTCATCCCAGATGGGCTAGTAACAAAAGTCGTGGCAAATGCGACATTTGACATGCGGACCCCGGCCCAGTATTATTATTTGTTACCATTTTAGCATCTTGCAACCAGAAGGTGTAGTCGGAGAGATCAGCTCCGAGCCGCCGCTCCAACATCGCACGTAGCTTCGACAACCTTGTGCGAATATCCATCAGCTGCACCACAATCTCCTCTGCAAAAAAATGTCATTAAATATGGGTCAACTAGTCACTGTAGGCTATATCCTAACGAAACTGATAAAACCCCTACTTTTATCAGGGATGAAATAATTTGTTTTATAAATAGTTTTAATATGCCACCTACAATAGTAAGAATTAAATTAAATTAGAAGGTATAACTTACCACTTGAATCATTGCTTTGCATGGTGTCTTCTTCATCTGCAACATCCGAAAACACTGCTAATGGAGTCTGCAGGATTTCAGTTCCAGATTGTATTAAACCTGCAATATTATTTTAAACTTAAATATTAAATATTAATAGTAAACCACCAGTGTAATGGCTAACATAACACCTTCAGTTTTTGCGAGTGTTAGTGTTTGTTAGTGCTTAATGTAAATAGTGTATACTGTATGTATATTGTAAAAACAACATAATGAATAAATTTCCTTACGAAAAGTAAGGAAGTTTATTAACTATTATAATGCTGTTAGATGTCACTAGCCTTTAGTGCATCAAGAGACAGTAATACAATACAGAACAGATAAGGGTTGATTGCAGTAGATACTCCAAACCCATGGAATAGCTATAAGACAACTCAAATTCCTCCTGTGGCACTGCTAGGGGTAACCATAAGATTCTAATATTTGTCTTATGTTATGAAATAAAAATTACAATATTTTTGACATCTGTGTTTTCTCTTGTAACAAATAATTCCTAAGAGTAGTAAAAAAATAAATTTCTACTGAAATATAGTTTTTTCACCTTCTACCAATTTGCAGGTCACCTAAATTGTAAGAAACTTAAGAACTTGGTACCCTTTAAAATCACAATTTGTATGTAGTATAGCAGTAAAACCAGGTAGGTAGATGGTGATCCCAAGCAAGAATATTATCAAAATAAGCGACATGTGTAATGCAGTAATATAAAAAAGGCAAGGTCACGAAGTGGTCAACAATGGTACCCCAGGTACAATTGCAGAATTTGCGTGAAGCTTGGCCATTATTATGGATAGTTATTGCCAGTGTTTACAAACCTAGATCACTTTCGGTGACGTACTGTGGTATCATGGCTAAAGGATCCGGCGACTCCTCACCAGGAGCCTCGTCCATTCCATTTTCATATCCATTATCTGTATTTTCCATTTTTACAGAGCGTACATTTAATATATCAGCGAACACTTCCATAGTTAAAAGACACTGCACGAGAAAACGCTACTATACAGATATATACTACTAAGTAAAAATTAAAAATATTATGTTTGTAAACAAACAAAGTTTTTCCCGATGTTTTTGAAAATTTAGGAAAAGGAAATCACTATTTCTATTCACTTCCGCGTGCGACCAACAAAAAACACAATAGACAAACGGAAAACAGATTGATATTTTATAATTTGTCCGATTGAGCACGGCAAAGAGAATGGTCCATACTGCCTAGTTATTAAGCAGAAACATAGGCTTGAAATAATTTAATAAACTATAAAACAAATATGTATATCTTCACAGAACAATGGTCCTCTACGATACACGTACTGAGATACCTTCTGAAATAGTTCGCATATTTTACGTGCATAAAAACCGTACCGGCTTATCTTTAGAACAGAGAATATTGATTTTCTACATCGACAATATCATCAAAAAACTGTTGGTGCCACTTTATTCAGAGCATAACGAGTTTTCTTAATTCAATAAAGTCAACAATTCCATAGCAGTATTCAATAATTGATTTGATATTTTGCATTCTTTATTGGTTTTGTGTATAGAACTAGGTATATAATATAGAATTCAGAAAATAAGTATATTTGCGCAAAGCTTTTCAAAGGTGGCGCCACCATATCATAACGTAAACAAAGAAATCGTTAGATTTTATAGGATGAATTTCCAATTCAACAAAGTCTGAATAGTTATAAAGTTTATGGCACAATTTTTTTTCTACTGATTATAATAACTTATGATTACGCGATTGCATACCTTTTCAATTTTAAAAATAATTACGGTAGTAACATAATTGTAATTTCTATCAGAAATAAATTGCCTTACATATAATCATCCTGCTGTAAAATAGCATGGTATAAAATGGAAGGAGATAAAGGAAGGAGAAATTAAATTATTACGTTTTAAATAGTTAATCGTTTAGATAGATAGGTATATTAACTACATATATCATGATCACTTTGTATCGATGTGTGATGTGCTGAGCAAAGTAAAGGTACCCCCTACCCCACAGAGATTTAATCAGTTACTTTCACCAATATCGAGCTTTGTCTGAAAAACCTTTTCTGTATCAAAGTGATTGAAATTAAGAGTTTTGATTATTGTAAGTATTTACAGTTGAAGTTGCAAATTAATTTTCAAAATCGCTTCACATTTTTGCACTTTTGAACGCAGTAGGTACATACAGCATTAGCTCGATTTTTATGTCACGTGATATGTGTACGTTCCTTTCTTTATACGTTTTATTACGAAGAAAACTGTTAACGGAGTCGCTAAAACAGTGTTAGTCTGTTGTCATATACTAATGACCCCAGATAAATTTTTCTATGATATCTACACTATAGGAAAATTTGTTCTGTTTAAGAATAGAATAGAAAAGAAGTATCTTTATTCAAATAAACTTAAATTTAAGTACTTCAGTCAATAGACACGTAGCTTTTTATAATCTACTGCTGATTCGAAAAACGCTACTTCTTTTAAACTATTAACAATTTAGGCAAAATTACAAATATGCCCTATTGTGTACCTAGAAAACATAATTATATATCTACATATGTTACAGTTCATTATCAGCTTAACATATGTATATAGTTTTAAATATAACTGTATATTTTTTATTTTACAAATGTAAGAATATTATGTGATGCAAATTTTGGTGATATTAATTAAATAAAAAATAGTAACAAATGAGACATCGTCAGCAAGGTCCGATGGGTTCGAACTTGATAGAGTGACTCTTACTTATGACTCACGATCACGTCATTATACTTTGAATCATCATGTTTGAATCATTATGAACTTTCATTATCCTTAAAAATGGATGCTGCAGTCGATACAGGAATTCAATCGAACGTAAGATAGATATGAAACTATATGCGTTCATCATTCTAAAATATTAAGAGCAAAAAAGCGATAAGAAAATTAAATTACATCATTATCTGGAAATAAAACACATGTAAGATATAAAATCAACATATATTTTCTGCCTGATCTGTTTTTTTTATGAATTTATCTACGTCGTTATGGTTTTTTAAAACGAACTTTTCAACTCCGTTCACTCTAGTCCAAATTAATTAACTAATATTTAATCTTAATGTTTTACAGGGGTAGCCATGTGAAAGCTACCTAACAGGTTAAATTGCTATTACTTACTACAATATTAACATCCGGAATAAATACATCAGATTTTTCGTAACAAGAGATGTGTTGGATACTTAAATTGCATGTTTTTAAATTACACATACCTACCTACGTCAGATATATACGATGCTATCACAATTTATGGCACAATATATTATATATTGTGCCTTAAATTGTATATACATTATAGTTTGATGGCACAATGTAACAAACAAAAATAATATATATCTATATTTTTATATATATAGTGTAATATTAGTTTGGCTCTATAACACCCATTATTTCAGAATATAAAGCTTCGTCCTCTCTAGCGCCAGCCGCCTTCGTTTGCATTATTGTTCGGTTGTCGTGTGAACTATCCATCTTTCTGAGCGCAGAAGAACCTTCTAACTGTAAATCAACGTATTGGATTTGATCCATGTTCTGGAACAAAATATACAATTTATGTACCTACTGTTTTAAGTAAAATTTATAAGTTTATTAACAATTGAACATTTAGTAGAACATCACGTTAGTGATAAATTTTATTTCAGGTTTGCCGACCTTAAAACAGCCATGTACGAATAAATCCAGAATCTAATATAATCTCGCATATTCGCTCAATGATTTTCTAACCTCGTAAATCAACTTCATCCTCGTACAAACTAGTACGCAGATGAATATATCTTTATAAAGTCCAAATACCTATCTCGTGTTTGTATGAGAATCCTGTTGGCATCCCTGGTCTTAGTTCTATGAAATTTACATATTGCTTCTATTGGAAACTTTGAGGAAAATGTAATACTGCGAGAAAAATTCTCATAATCTACTAAATTCATTGAAATTAATTTATAATTCAATAAACTTGTAGATACCGTCTATTGATGATAATTATATAATACAATATATAACATAGGTATGTATACCTACGACGCCTTCTATTTTTTTTTATTTATAAAACAAAATTGGAGCAATTTAAAAAATTAAAAAATAAATATATATACACAAATTCTAGCGCCCATTTTTTGAAGCATAAACAAAAGAACTGACTATCACACGGTTTTCGTCTGGTCACGAGTATACCCAGTTAATACATAACAAAATGTAACGTTATATTAACTCGCTGTACCGTAATTCGAAGCCTGTAAATGAGAGTAGCGATGCTATTTTTCGGTACTGAGGCGGATGTTACGTCACTTTTTGCCGGAAGTACACCTGCATTTTGTTAGTTCAACTTTCCTCCACCAGGTGGTGTTAGTTTACTTGTGTTGTGCAGAGTCCCAATTTAGGTCATTGGCGGTTTATTTTTCGTGCTGAGCGGACCGTTCTTATGTACGCTGAGGCCACGTAAGAATAAAAATTGTTGCATCACTGTATTTTTTAAATTATTTTTTCAAGATAACGGTGTTACCGTTCGATGTTACTTACCTTCAATATATATTTTAATAACAATAATTCATTCATTAATTTAAAGTTTATTGCAAGGGTTTTTATTTTCAACAATTATTTTTTTTCAAAACTAGATTATATTTTAGTATGAGTGATACAAGTAGTGATAGTAGTTCTTCAAATTCGTCCGGAAGTATCCAGAATGTACCTGCAACAGAACCTGCCGAAAATGGTGAAGGTTCTCAACGGAAACGACATGGCACTCCGCAGAAGAAGAAAGACAACAAACGACGTAGAAAATCAAAGGAGCTGCGCAGGCTCAGTAACGAGGTTAGTTATTTAAAACAATACTTGTCTCATAACCAATTTAATTCGGCCCCACATATTGCACCATTTGGTAACTATACGACACAACCTCTGTACGAAGATGATAGCATTAGCTTAAATCACAGTGGTGAATTGTTTTCCGAAGGCGAAAATGTTTCAACCTTGGATAACTCTGTCAGTCTATCAACTACAAACTTCAACTTACCAATTAATACTGTTTTGAAAGAACCCACCATTACCAAGTCAACGGACGAACACATCAATTTATTGAATTCGTTGCAACATTTTAACAGTTCTCAATGGTGTGACGTGAGGTTTTCTGAAGTACAAAAGAATTATACATCGTCCCCAGGCTTCATTGATCTGGAATGTAATGACGAAATAAAATCTTACGATAAATATCCTAATCTATGTACAATAGAAAAAAGTTTCGCCGCTATTACCCAAGCGTTACTTAAACAGAGAGAGGCCGCGCAGGCCGGTTTTGAGTCTTTACTCTCATGGGCATCTAGTTCTAATGACCTATCACCATCAACGATTAGACAGAAATTAAACGAAATATTTAGTGAGGGTACTTTTAACAAAATATCTAGTGACCTTCTCCAATTATCTTGTGGTCATCGAGCAGATATAATTGAGCAAAGGCGAGATAGTATACTACGATCCGTGAAAGATAAGTATGTACGTGTTAAATTACGAAAGATCCCTCCAACACATGAGTTCCTTTTTAATAAAGAATCTTTTTCATCTTATATTGAAAAATCTGGTGGTGTCGGTAAAATTTTTTGGCCAGTTCGTAATTCAAACCAGAGAGCCAACTGGTCCACTACGCAAGCAGGACCATCAAATATGAAAGCGCCCGCGCAGGGCCTTCAAGATTTGACATTCAAAGGACATCCTAACAGAACATTCAATAATAGTTTTAATTCTTTCATGCCACACATGCATTCCTCTGCTTACGTACCCTATCATATACCTACATGTCCTACGCAGGGAAATAGCTTTATACAAAACTATAATGACAGAAAACGGTTCGCGCAGAACCATGATAAAACAAACAGACCTGTCTCGCACAAAAGATACAGATCCCGACCGGACGAAGTATCTTATAAGGGCCAGTCAAAGAACTCGCGGCCAAGTCCTGGTAATTTTCGTTCGAAACGAAAATTCTGACTCTGTGAATTTTGTGGGAGGTTGTTTAAAAAATTATGCTCATGTATGGTTAGAAATGGGTGCCCCAGAACCAATTTTAAAAATTATTCAAGGATACAGAATTCCATTCGGACAAAAACCTCCACTTTACATGCCCAATTTCAAGAATCACAAAATTCATACTCGTTTCTCTCTCCATATGAAGCAAGCCATCCAGAACATGATCGATTCGGGTATATTAGAGAGCGCGCAGCTCTCTCCGAGTTTCATCTCCAATATGTTCCTAACTCCAAAGACATACGGATCCATGCGTCCTATATTCAACCTCAGAAACTTAAACGAATACTTAATAATAACGAAATTTCGATTGATAAATACGCAAAAAGTTCCCGAATTTTTACAACCCTTCGACTGGCTGGTCAAAATAGACCTATCCAATGCTTATTTTCACGTACCAATTCTAGAATCGCACAGAAGATTTCTGAGATTGATTTTCAATCAAAAACTATTACAAATGACCTGCCTCCCATTCGGATTAGCAACGGCACCAAAGAGGTTTGCCATTCTTACAAATTGGGTTGCGCAAACCCTGAGAGATCGAGGCATGCGCATAGTTACATACCTAGACGACTTCTTGCTAGTAAACCAGAACAAACACCAACTTTCAATCCAGGTCCGAGACACTGTTTCACTTTTGAAACGGCTGGGATGGCAAATAAATTACGAGAAGTCGATTCTAACCCCCCAATCTCGTTTGGAGTTTTTGGGGATATGCTGGGACCCCTGGTCAGATCTGAAGTCATTGCCTCTGCTGAAATGTCAGTCCCTCGTAACAAAGATAAATCCTATATTGAGGAAAAGAACTGTGAAGTTGAAAGAATTGCAAAGTCTGATTGGTCTTATAAATTTTGCCAGTTTCGTAATACCTCGAGGAAGATTAAATCATCGCAAACTTCTCCATTTTTGCAAAATAATCTCCCAATCAAATTCTTCCCGCCGCTGGGTAGTCCCCGAAGGTGTCCTGAAGGAGATACAATGGTGGATGAGAAATCACAAAGAGTCATCTCTCCTTTATATACCACCTGCCAGCCATTTTTTAACAACAGACGCATCCGATGTAGGTTGGGGAGCTCGCCTGGACAATATAGAGATTGCAGGTCGTTGGTCCTCTCAAGATATGAATTTACACTCCAATCTAAAAGAAATGTTAGCTGTATTTTACGTCCTAAAAGAGCAGCATCGGTTCCTGTCGAAATCTTCACTAATGCTGCAGAGCGACAACAAGACGGTTATTTCCTATTTAAAGAAAGAGGGAGGCTCGAAATCTATAAGGCTCCTGAACACCACAAGAAAAATCTGCAATCTCTTAGACAGACATCAAATCCATCTTATTGCTCATCACATACCAGGCATATTCAACAGCGAGGCCGATCGCCTATCTCGTTGTCAAATGACTCCCGAGTGGCACCTGCTACCGAAGGCCACTGCCAGGATCTTCAACAAATGGGGAGAACCCGTCATCGATCTTATGGCATCGAAAACGGCTCACTTGGTACCACGATATGCCAGCTTAGATCCAACAGATCAAAAAGCATGTCTTTGCGATGCCTTCAGCCAGGAATGGAACTTTACACTGGCATGGATATTTCCACCACCCTTCTTAATACCCAGAGTACTGTCACACCTAAATACAGCGAAAGGAATTTATCTAATCGTAGCCCCGGTATGGGACAAGGTATTTTGGAGACCGGACATCAAGAACCGGGCATTATGCCCCCCATTTACACTATATCACCTAGATCAGGTTCTAGTGGACACGGCGACCGGCCTGCCACCACCAAGAGCCCTCGAGATGACTCTCGAGGTCTGGAGATGTGGGGGTGGACGCCGTGCCTAAAGGACTGGTCGTCGGATCAGATGGAGTTACTCAAGTCAGGTTGGCGAAACTCTTCTGCTAAAACCTATCAGAATGCATGGCGTAGATGGCTACATTGGTGTAAAGATAACCAAATTGCGTCCCCATGCGACCCTACAGGCTCACAACTAGCGAGATTCTTAGCGGACCTATTTCAAATATATAAACTTTCTTATAATACAATTTTAGTACATAAATCTGCTATTTCTACACTTTGCAATTCAAATGTCACCGACAGGCTAAGCTCTCATATACTTGTAAAGAAAATCTTAAAGTCCATATCCCTTCGAAAACCTAAAAATATAGTAAAACCACCTATCTGGGATACTGATGTATTATCTAACTGGCTCCAAAATAATGGCAGTGATATTAACAATTTATACCAGTGTTCAAAGCGAGCAGCCACTTTGTTACTACTTTGTTTAGGAAGGCGTGTCCATGATCTGACATTACTAGCTATTGATAATAATCACTGTATTATTTCTGATAATTACATAATATTTTGGCCTATGTTTGGTTCTAAAACTGATAATTGTGACACCAGGCAGTCAGGGTGGCGTTTACTTTCTAACAAAGATAATAATTTGATTGATCCCACGTTTTGGATAAAGAGAGTAATTGAATTGTCGTCCACTAGGCGTAAGATCTGTAAAACTAATAGTTTATTCATTACAGCTTGTGGTTCACCCAAACTTGCATCACGTACAGTAATAGCTGGTTGGGTGAGGAAGTTACTTGAAGAAGCAGGAGTTAAGGCCAGTCCCGGTAGCATTCGATCTGCAGTTGCCTCTAAGAACTGGGTACTCAATTACCCAATCGACGAAATACTTGCAAAGGGAAATTGGCGATGTCTTAATACTTTTACACAATATTATTGCCGGGAAATCAAACCCGTGCAATCTAATCCTCTACCTGATATGTTCTCACCCATACAGTAGTGACATACTCTCCTCGTTTCATTATGAGTGTTATATTATCGATTCTCGCTTCACTTTTATTAATATATTAACTGTATTGTGTTTTTGTCTTGATGATTGACACATATATATATTGTTTCTACTTAATATAACTAATTAATGGCAAATTAATGGATTTCATAATATCCGTGATTATCAGAATGGTATTATATGATATATAATTTTTTTTTCTTTATTTTTATTAAATATTGAATAATTACAACATTTGGATTTTAGTTAAACCTGTTTTCCTCACATAATACTTGATACAAAATTCCATGCTTCATTGCCACAAATACTATAGTATATATTTTTATTTTACATCACATTGGCGTTAAATCATCCTCCACCAGGCGACACCAAACACGTTTCATTTACAGGCTTCGAATTACGGTACAGCGAGTTAATAACAGCGTTTTACCTTACAATAAAACGCTTATTAACTGCTTACCTAATTCGAAGCCTACTTCTAACTCTGCCTGCACAACACAAGTAAACTAACACCACCTGGTGGAGGAAAGTTGAACTAACAAAATGCAGGTGTACTTCCGGCAAAAAGTGACGTAACATCCGCCTCAGTACCGAAAAATAGCATCGCTACTCTCATTTACAGGCTTCGAATTAGGTAAGCAGTTAATAAGCGTTTTATTGTAAGGTAAAACGCTGTTATTACATAACGTTACATTTTGTAATCTTAAATTAATTCCAAAAAGGGTAAGTACTATATTGGGGTATTTTAAAAAATATAGATACCTATAACATTTCTAGCCGTACATAGCAGAGACGGATCGATAGTTATCAAGAAATAAGATTGAAAGATGAACTTACACGTTCCTGTGCTCGTTGTATGCAACGTTTTCTGCCGTATATCCAGATAAGTGATATGAATATGGCGATACCAATACATCCTGTAATAGGCATTCCTATTGACACGGGCTGATCTGGAACTAGTAACTAGCTTGTTTAGTCGGCAATTAAAAATAAACCATTTAAATAAATATATTTTATATTTGAATGAATATTATTACCCGAATGGGGTAGTCAGAAGCATTGCTGAGAAAATAGTGAATTGAAAAACATAACTGACATGTCTATATTTTGCTGGGCATAGATATTTGTATCCTGCGGCCGTCTCTCGGATTCCATCGGAATTTTTGGTTTCTTATTCAACAGAAAGTCAATCGGAAATATAAATTGAGACCCAAAGTTTTTTGTTTACAGCCAGTTTGTAACTTACGGCGTTGTGGTAAACCACTAGAGGTTCCAAATAACCGTATATATAACTCTAGTATTAAGTTTCCCTCTCATGTTGGTATAGATATTCAAAACTCATTATCTAAATGATATTTTTATATACCATCAGTAAGAATTACTTACAAACTTCAGGTTCTGCATACAACAAGTGGGCTCTATTTTTTATTAATCTCGTACAGTTTCTCTCATTATTTATGGTTGTACAGTTCAATGTTACACATATTATTTTAGTGTTGTTGGCCTGTTCCTTAGTTAGATTTGTCGTTATTTTTTTTTTAACGTATTTGCAGTTTTCTGAAAATGTTACAAGTTATACAAAATTTATAAAGATATTTCCAAGTCTTTTTTGTGGGTGGGGAAATGGAGAAATGACATCTGCGCAATTGTCTTTGAAAATCATCGTTGACTCATGATTAGGTACTTTCTCATACGCGATTAACTCTATTACTAACATAATGTAACATACCTACTAGTATGTTACTACTAGTATGTTACGATACTTTATATTTATGACCGTATATTTTCTGTAAACCCAATTTCTAGCTCAATTTTGATACAATAATTTAATTTATTACAGATTTCTTTTGATATTTTAGAGGTTTTTATCTGTTATAGTATAGATCTAATGAAGTAACAAGAAAAAGTATTTTTGATTTGCTATCACAAATACTACTAGTAATTAACTACCGCGAAACCTCAAATTTTGCGACATTTCTCGCTCTCACTTCTAAACAATTTACCCACTACATACAAATCGGCTCTTATGAGTACTGAAAGGAAATAAAATAGAAAAAAATAAATGAACTGTGCTCTCCATTGCAGACACTTTATTCTGTCCTCGGAATAGTATTCTGTCAGTATCATGAAAACAAAAAATGCACTCACTGTCTAATTCTAAAATGGTTGTATCTTTGGAACGACATGGTTCTGGCGGGAAACCGTCAGATACATTGTAGATATTAAAGTTTCTGTCTTTGCAACCTGTGGATAAATGAATATAAATTAAATATTTCACAAATAAAATATCCATTCTATCTAATATTTGAGTAAATAGATTTTCTATTATACCACAGATATTATACTAAAAGTTGACTCTTGGAACTACTTGCAATAATTTTGTAAGTCTAACATAATTTTAACACCTGACGTAGAAAGATGTGTGGTATTATAGGTAATTTGGTTGAAGCATTGAACTTTGATTTGGGCTTGAAATAATAATAATATTATTTTCTTGCCTCGCGAATATTTAGAGTTTCGTGATCTCTCTTTTGACACCCTTGATACCCTTGCCACATAAAATGTATGTTCTGTACATATTATAAAATAAAGTACCTCGCCGCATCTGTTTGTACGTTCGCGATGATTTTAATGAATGGATTTTTATGTGGTTTTACTCTATCAATAATTTAATTCCTATGTAGTAACCAATTGTATAGAGTTATCTATTGCCTAACACAGACAATATACACTGACGCTATTTTTCAATAACGAACGATGTATCTGTAGCTCTCCCATTAATTGTTATTTGACCTAAATGTTAACAAAATCTCCCATAAAATAACTCTTTACCCAATACCGCAAGCTGACGATTTTATTTATTCAATATGAAACTGTAAAAATGTTCGTGTTATCAGCAAATATTCTTGTGTAATCCACAACCAGCTGACTATTTCTTTCTTTCTTCTTCAATACCTAATTTAACACTATTATAATATATAATACGTATTTAAATATATTACTATTATTAATACTCATTATACTTAATAATATAACTAATATTTAAATATAATGCGATAGCACTTACCAGATCTATTAAATTGCGGTTTTATTGTCATTTTCTCGATGCTCTTATTGCTACATTGTATAGTCGTTGTATTATCGAACTCTTCTACTGTCATCTTGATGTTCAACTTAGTAATGTTATTTGTATCAATGACCATTTCTGAGATTCCTATTCCTGTATCTACGAATTGTGGTAATTACAATTTTTTTTCAAATGAAATCAAAATGCTACCAGCATTGACATGATGTTAATGGATGTGAGTGATCTAATATATATTTTTTATTTTAAAAATTCAAAAGACATATTCTTTCAGGAAATTAGACGGTATTGAGAAGTAACATCCTAGTCCTCCGTAATGGCAACGTATGAAGGGTTTGTACTTACTACAGGCGTCATATAAACATTAAGTCCGTCAGCTGGTTTGTTATACTGGTTACATTAAAAACTTCCAATTAAATTTAAATGGATTTATATAAAGCTATGGCATAGGTATGTTATATCTATGTATAACTTTTCAATATTTAAGCAAAAAATGAAATACAGTATATCTTTATTTTAGTATAAAAAATATGTCCCTTTTTACTCGATGTGCATATATTTTACTGCTGGGAAGGAGATTATTATTAATGTGGACTGTCAAGCCCATTGCTAGCTATGTACCACGCTAGGTTGACGCGCGATTCCTCCTGGAAACCATTGTGATAAATTCCTGGTGAATTTGTCACGATGGGCGAACTGACCCGACGTAATGTTAATCTTATCATCCTACTGGTGCCCCGGCAGCGTTAACCGTTAGCGCAGGCGGGCGCACCATCTCGTGATCATACATTAGAAAATAATATATAGTATATATATATTTTTCAATAACAGTATTTGTCAAATAGGTTATATCTAAAGTAAAGAAATATTCAGTTACATCATATTTGTAATATTAGTTTAAACTTTAAAAATACCATTATTGTACAAACATATGATTGTATTATTAGCAAATATTGTTCTTAATATGCTAAAGTTACCAAAGGGTTCCGTATGTTGCGACCACTTCAAAGTATTCGGTTCTTTCGTTCTTAAACAATTATATTCGCGTTGACTGCCAACTTCATATGTAGGTATACTAGGTATCTGGTTTACTGCTTTAAAATAAAATTATTGATTTACTTCGATTTGTCAAAAAACAGTTAAAAATTCTTACATAAATTAAAAAGTAAAGTATTATAATATAATAAATTTCGAAAATTTTTCTTACATAAAAATTAAGCAATATGATGGAAACTGAACTGGACTGACGCTAGCGATGATGAAGTTCATGAGAAAGAACGTCGTAAACGTCATATGTAGATATTTAAGGCGGTTCCGTCTGCGGCGATTTATTTGAAATCGCAAGCACTCTCCTTCGTCTATACTTGTTACGTAATGACCGAGATTTTAGCCTAGTTTTTGACCACCGAGGTTTTGCCCACCAAATCTATAACCACTGATAGAGTCGATTATAGGTTGCTGGTTACACTTGATTAGATGTTTTAATTGGTTACGGTTATTTGATATATGGTCCAAATAAACCAAAAATATAGCGAATGCACACGTTCTGGAGACTTTCTATTTTGTTGAGCAAATAGCCAGTGGTATCAGCAAATGAAATCAAATATCAGCATAATCAAAAAGAGGTAAAAGGAACGTATTAGATAATTGGACCTTCGTTTTAAATGGCAGAAAACTTTGAGGACGCCCTTATTTGTTAATATAAAAAAGAATGTACCTGTGGACGGCTCGTTTTAGGAAAAGAAAATACTAATAGAAAAACTGAATAGAAAAAATATGTTTATTGCAAAAATTTCTAAATAGCTAATTGACACAAAAAATACAACATTCTCTCTTTTTAAAATATTGACATAAAAAAGAATTGTACATAAAACCTCAACAGTACCTATGATTTTTATGTCACTCAATAATAAATTACGATTGTAACGTACGACATACGACTACTTGCATATTTAAGTCATCTTTCACTAAATATAATATAATATAAATCACCTAAACTCTTTATTTACGGACTATATTTATCTTAAAATGGTAGCAGAGTATCGTTTATAATTGCAAAATCGCACATAACGGTCGATTGCAATTTTTTTTAGAGTTAGAGTTATTAACACCAGATTATTTTCGTATACGTGAATAAAAGATTAAACTATAGTTATGTATGACCATGGAAAGAAATACAAAGTTTCAAGTCTTACCACTAAATAAACACAACTGGGCTACATGTAAATTTCAAATAAGACTAGCTCTAAAAGGTCATGGTTGTTGAGACCGACACGAAAAGGATAGAGTCGGAAAAAGATAGAAGATTGCTGAGCTTGGAAAATATACCAAAGAAGATAGTACAGCATTTCTATTATAACGACTAATTTGACACAAGAGAATATCATGAAGGTTTTGAAACAGCCAGAGAGGCTTGGCTAGAGTTACAGAAGATCGAGCATTTGATTTAATTATGACATTCTTTAAATTTATAAAGGAACCTGCTGATAATATTGGCACGTATATATCCAAACTAAGGAATGTATGGCGAGATCTCTCCCTTGAAATGGAGAAAGAAGGAGTCAAAGAAATACCAGAAATCTTTCTTATGGGTAAACCTTTGAAAGCTGTCCGTATGAATATTTTCAATTTATCTCAAGTTGGAAGCTGTTAGCAAAAAAGGATCGTAGCATAGATAAATTAACTGTTGATCTATGTTCTTACGGACGAGCTTTACAATCTTAAGGGTCTTGAGCTCAAATGGAAAAAGCACTCGCGCTTACGGGAGGTAAAGGCAAGTCTAAATTTCATAAAAAGGCAACTGTCAAAAACAAGTCAAAGAAATGTAGTTATTGTGGTCTGAACCATCATTTTGTTAAAGTTTATCGCAAATGGATTGCTAATGGAGGTCCATTAGCATTAGAAAAACCATGAACGTCAAAACAAGGTAATACTTCCAAAAAATAATAAATGCAAAGCTAATATGATGCTAATGAGTGTTGAAGTAAACCTCTCGGGAAACATTCATAAACATCAATGGTATGTCGACAATGGCGCAACTAACCGTGTCACAAACAAGTCCGATGTATTTGAAAATTTTAAACGATTTCCAAACAATTCACATAGAGTAACAACTGCCAATGGACATGCTACCATAGTGGAAACAGATATTTATAGTCGAAACCAACTGATAACTTTAAATGATGTTTGGCTTGTTCCAGAAATATGAAAAAACTTTTTCTCTGTCTTAACTGCTCAAGATTGGTTGAACGATAGCACATACATATCAAAAACAAACAACTCCCAATTGATTTTAGATGGAGTACCTGTCCTATTCAGAGAAAGAGAAAATATGGAGGTCTTTATAAACTAAGATTGCAAAACAAATCATTGAATCCAATCGAAATAAATATTAATGCAGTTGATACAACAGATATGCTACAGGTCTACCATGAAAGGTTTGTCATCAGAGTAAAGATTATGTGAGAAAAATTGTTGAACGAGAACTGGGCATAAAATAGTACGTCCTACTCACAGAACCCTTTGTGAAGAATGCATCTATGGAAAAGCTCATCGTTTGAAATTTGGAACGCGCATTAAAGCCAGCCGAACCCATTTATGATGATGTCTGTAGACCATTTATACTTTCCTATGCCAAGTACCGCTACTTCCTATTACTAAAGGATGACTTCTCAAAGTATCGCTGTCTATTTTTAATGAGAAAGAAATGTGATCATTGTTTGAAATTTGGAACGCGAGAAGGAGCATCAAAGCCAGGCGAACGCATTTATGATAATGTCTGTGGACCATTTATACTCTCCTATGCCAAGTACCGTTACTTCCTATTACTAAAGGATGACTTCTTAAAGTATCGCTATCTATTTTTAATGAGAAAGAAATGTGATCAACGTTTGAAATTTGGAACGCGAGAAGGAGCATCAAAGCCAGGCGAACGCATTTATGGTGATGTCTGTGGACCATTTATACTCTCCTATGCCAAGTACCGTTACTTCATATTACTAAAGGATGACTTCTCAAAGTATCGCTATCTATTTTTAATGAGAAAGAAATGTGAAGTCCAAGAAAAGCTGATACAATTTATAGCTTAAGTCAAAGCTACAGGGCACATTATTAAAGAATTCTTTACTGACAATGGAGGTGAATTCTTAAATGAGGATGTGAAACGGATTCTACAAAAGGAAAGCATTACGCAGAGTCTGTCAGAGCTTTAATGCATACTCCTATAAGGGAACTACATGACAACTGAAATAACAAGTACTGTTGTTTTTGTACTCAACCGTACTGGTCCTACTCATATGGAGAAAACTCCGTACGAGTTATGGTATGGCAAAAAGCCAAGGATTAAACATTTACGAATTATTGGAAGTCATTGTTATGCTTTTGGTACATGTGCCCAAAAGCGTCACGCAAAAAGCTGGACAAGAAAACGAAAAAAGGTATTCTTATAGGTTACAATGAGAACAAAGGGTATCTTGGGCATTTGGATAGATAACACTCTGACAGTAATGAACTCCAGAGATGTAATCTTTGAAGAAAAGACATTAAATTATATAGATGAAAATATAATCCTTACCGAAAGTAATCATAAAGAGAAGACTACTAGATCATTGATCATCCCACTTCAAGTCTGTAATGATCCAACTGACTTAAGTTAAGAGTATGATGAGTCGAATGTATCGAATGATTTTCCTAATGACTATACACATTCAGATACTACCGAATGTGAACATGAAGATACTGTATCTAATATAAACATTTTGTCACACATTAATACAGATGATGAACAAGATACATACGAAGATGATTTATTAAGAGAAGATACCTTACCTCAGGAAGAAATCTGCTGATAAAGACAAATGGCGAAAGACTATGGATGATGAAATTAATTCGCTGAAAGAGAATCAAACATGGGACTTAGTGCCATTACCAAATGGACGTAAAGCTGTATCATAGCAAATCCATACTAATATTACAAATGCGAAAGTAACTCTGTCTGTCTTTCTGTCTCGCTTTCACGTCAAAACTACTGAACCGATTTAAATGAAATTGGTACACAGATAGTCTAGACCCTGAGAAAGGACGTAGGCTACTTTTTAATGCGAAAAAAGGGTTGTAAGGGGTTGAAAGGGGGGATGAAAAATTGTATGGAAGAATCGTCATTTTTGAAGCTAGAAGCTTGAAATTTATTTTTGAGGCTGTTGATTAAATATAAATAAATATGACATTCAAAGTTTGTAATAATTTCACCCTTAGGGGGGTAAAATAAATTAGGGGATACATTTATTTATGTTAATTCGTTATTTTTGAAGCTAGAAGCTTGAAACTTATTTTTGAGGCTGGTGATTAAATATAAATATATATGACATATAAAGATTTTCAAAATTTTACCCTTAAGGGTGTTAAATAAATTAGGGGATGAAAGTTTTTATGTCAATTCGTGATTTTTGAAGCTAGAAACTTGAAACTTATTTTTGAGGCTGGTGATTAAATATAAATAAATTGACATACAAAAATTAAAAAAAAATTACTTAAGTTAGTTAAATAAATTAGGAGATAAAAAATCTTATGTTAATTCGTCATTTTTGAAGCTAGAAGCTGGAAACTTATTTTTGAGGTTGGTGATTGAATATGAATAATTATGATATTAAAAGTTTGTAAAAATTATGGGGGTAAAATGAAACAGGCAGATAAAATTAAAGTTTCATTTTTGAAATTAGAACGATGTAACTTTTTCATTGGCTTTCTGGGTTTATTAAATATAAGGTATTTAATAAGGTATCTAATATTATAACTGTGAAAGTCACTTTGACTATCTGTCTGTCAGTCTCACTTGCACGCCAAAACTACTGAACCGATTTAAATGAAAGTTGGAACACATAATCTGTCTAGATTATGTGTTCCAACTTTCAACCTATATCCATTTTCAGGGTCTCCTGAAAATGGATATAGGTTACTTTTTAATGTGAAAAAGGGTTGTAAGGAGATTGAAAGGGTAGGTGCAAGGTTGTATGGATATATCACCATTTTCAAAGCCTGTAACTGATTTTTTAGGCTGTTCATTAATCAATCATCAATATAAATAAGGAAAAATGGGTTGGAAGGAATTTAAAGGTGAGTTAAATGTTTATGTGGAAATATATGTCATGTCATTTTTAAAGCTAGAAGCTTGAATTTTATTATTTACTTATTTATTAAATATTAAGAAAAAGAGTTATAAGGGGTTGAAAGAGTTATGAAAGATTGTAACGCGCCGTCATTTTTGAAGCTGCAACCATGAATTTTATTCCTTTGGCTTTCTATTGGGTTAGGTCATTAAATATTTTTTTCATTACTCGGTCAAGGTCACTATTTTACGCGGACCAAATCGCGGGTACCGCTAGTGGGTTTATAAAATCAAGCGAAACTCTGATGGGTCTACCGACAAATATATTATATCTAGCTTTCTAGACTTGTTGCTGTTGGCTACTCTCAAAAGAAAGGGATTGATTATGAAAAAACATTTAATACCGTCGCAAAAATGGACAGTGGTGTAACGGAAAGGGTATATCAATACAAAAACCACGGGGCCTGCCCTTGGTTATATAGCACCTCCGATGGTTTTTTGAAGTATAACTACACTTCAATGAAATGCATTTAGCATGCCTACATCCAAAACTAATTTAGAATTATGTTACTTTGCACAACCCTAGAGCCCCAATCAGCTGTTCCGGTCATCAACATCATAATGCCCCGGCCAGTAGATAGTCATTTTTTTTTTCAGTATATTTGTCACATTACGATTGCCACATGATATGCAGTCTACTGCGATTTTTTTAAAGGTGATAATGGAATGGTACCCACGTCTACTCTGAACAGAACTTACTCCGATGGTTCGATACCCTTACTATTCCAAAAGTAACCTATTATACCCTTGGAGTAATAATCGATTCAGCAGTGGCTGTCTACTGATAATTAAAGGAGAAGAATTAGTACTAAACTCTTCAATAAATTACTGCAAACATGTTCTGATTATGTTATTACAAATTATTTAAAATTGAATATCATTACTCATCAGTCAAGTGTATGTAGGATATGTAAGTATGATTGAATGAGAAACATAAAAATTATGATGTATTTAGTAAAAATAATTAACTTAGTTATAAATGTACATAACTTTGTGAAAATCAAAAACCTTAAAACAATGTACTAAGTAAATAATAATAATAATTTTATTTTAGACAAAATGATGATGTTAAGAAGAGTCAATTTTGCAACGATCTCTTCGTTATCATCTTGAAGGTACGAAAAGTTTGCGACTTGTATATTACAGATGAACGACAAGGTCTGTGATGATAGTCAATCTGCTATAGAAAGTCGATGTATGGCAAATATATCAACCGTTGAGGCAATATGTCCATCACCAAACCAAACATGTCCAAGGATGTTGGGTAAGGTTTCAGATAGACTTTGTCAATCTGCTATAGCGATAGAGTGAGAGACTTTGTGTGTGAGAGAGTAGTGAGGAGTATGCTACTGAGAGTAAGTCTGAAGGCAACGATTGAGGAAGAGTGTTAGAACGAGGTTAGCAATCGATGACTAGTCTGGCTGGTATGGCAGACGAAGTATGTTACTATACTTTGAAAAGAGAGTGTGTCATCTTGTCTTTCGTCATGTTGATGTTATATTATTATGTATTATCTATACATATATACATATAAATAAAATTGGAGTGTCTGTTTGTAATATTCAAATAACAGTTTTTTACTAGATGTATATGAATATGAAAATACACGGTACATATACCAAAATAACATTTTTTATAATTTTGGTCTGTCTGACTGTCGGTCTGTTTGTTCCGGCTAATCTCTGAAATGGCTGGACCGCTTTTGATGGGACTTTTTTTGGCAGGTAGCTTTGTAACAAGGAGTAACTTAGGATACTTTTATTTTATATTTTTTTTATTTAAAAAATGTATAAAAATAAATTCCACGCGGACGAAGTCGCGGGAATAGCTAGTATTTAATATATTTTGTTAATCAATATTTTCTATGTTATTTACTTGGACACCACTATAGTTACTCTGTTAATGTGAGGCAAGTACCTCACAGTCGTAGCTAAAATTTTTATTACTTCAGTTAATTGCAGGAACTGTTCAAATTGTTCTTTATCCATTTTATGTCCTCGTCGCCAACATTTTATACATTAAAATAATGATTTATAGTTTGTAGTAACCGTTTATTGAATTAATTAATAACAATGTACGTCAAAAGACACATCATTTAATAATACTAAAGAGTTCAAAAACAAAAAAACCATAATGATGGATTGTGATTTATAAGTAGGAGAAGAACGATGAATGGCGTTCACTTATGGAAAACATGGTGTATTTTATAAATTATTTATTGCAAATCAAAATTAAGAAAAGTAACAAAGTTTTTAATTATCGAGTAACCAACAATGTGATGTCTAAAAAACAGTAAAATATATTAATTAAAGAAATATTCACAAGATCAATCTTATATAATAAAAGTAAAATCTACAATCCTCAATTATCTCCATTTCTATATAAAATTAGCCTTTTTCATTTGAATAAATATAGTACAGGCTTAGATGTCAAATCAACTTCAATTATTGTAATATAACATGAAATAATTATTATTATTAGAGGTAAGACAAATTAGAAATAAAAATATTTTATCCTTGGATATTTAAATCACGTATGTATCTAATTGCGAATCCCACCCTGAGCATGTAGCGTGAGCCCACAGTCCGCAGATGGTGCAGCGATACCAGAATTATTTTTTTTTACAAATTCCTATTAAATAATACATTTGTTATAATTTATATCATCCACATTCATTTTGTCGTCACTGCCGTTGTCGCAAAGGTGCTCTTTATCTTCACTATCTGAAGATTTTCATGTAATTTTTTCTTTTAAGATTTTTGTACCTACCATGTTTTTTTCTTTCTTTTGGACAAACTTATTTTAATCATAGTTTTAGCAGATTTAAGGTTTTTTCGGGTCTAACAATTTTAGCGGCGATCCTTTGACGTTTTCTTAGCATATCTACAATAATAAAAAAAAGTCACAAAGCGGTAATGGCGCTCAGGTGAGCGGTATAACCCCTAGACTTACCGCCATAAAACACTTGCAAAAATTAGATCAGTGTGGCCACAAACGAGAATCCGCACTTCACGATCATATGACGCAAGTTGACTGTCTGTTTGCATTTGCAGAGGCTTTTAGGCCTCTAAAAGACAGCAATTAACCTTAACCTATCCTCGTGGTTTAAGCAACGTGGCGTGTTGCTACATTCCATTTTAGAGTTACAGAGGTGAGCGCCATTACCCGGCGAGCGCTATTCCCCCTCGCTCCTCTATTAACAAACAGACCATACGCCTTAGCCCATTCACAAATAGAATCGAGATCCCTATTGAGCAAGGAGATAGCATTGTATACGGATAGGAGGTCAAAATATAAGGAATTGTATATGAAAATATCGTTTTGGTAAATAATCACATAAAATGTTAATAATTATTAACACTTTATGTGATAACATAAGAACAAATTATCAAATGGTAACGAAATTTGATGTGAATATATACTCGTATTATATCACAACAACTTATCTTTTATTATTATTGCTTATATATAAACATACAATATAAATAACATACTTTTATAACACATACCTACGAAAAAATTTTCAAATAGGTACATATGTAATTTCAAACACATACTTCACATATCCTTTAAGATACACAAAATTTACGAAATCGCAGTTACTTTTATAAAAAAGGACATTAATCATGTCCTTTTTACATCTACAAAAAGTATTTGTTGAACAACTACGGATATCGATACATAAATAATTCTACCAAATTATAATATACTAAGTATAATATTTATTTATTTATTTATTCTTTAATGCACAAAAAAAACTTGTACAAAGGCGAGCTTAATGCCATATGGCATTCTCCACCAGCTAACCTTTAGGTATACAGAAAGCGTTGTGGGGCAGTTATGTCAAAAACAAACACAAAGTTACTAATAAATATTATATAACACATATGAAATGCAAATAAATATATACAAATAATAATATATATAGTATACCTGATATTATATAATGTCATACATTAATGTTAAATATATATAATACTAATACAATGCAATACAGTTATAACTCATTTTTCAGAAGAAAATTAAATAATTTATTTTTACTATTACTATAATATTAATACTATTAAGACTAGAAGTTCTTTTATTATCAGAATAATTAACACTAGCAGAAATGCAGCTTATATACAAGCAATGTCTATGTCTATAGTTACTCACCACTATTTTTCCAATTTATCTTATAATGATACGAACACGACTTATTTTTGGGCTCTTCTGAAAATAGGATAAATTGGGTTAGGTTGTTTGTATTATCAGAAGCAGTTAATTTTGCTAAATAAAATTTTTACTGCACTTGTAATAAAAAAGTGAGCAATATCTCAGAAAAAGATTGCGTTCAGCCAACCTAAAGCTGTGACAGTGTTAGGTTAGGTATGGATACCTATAACGTTCTTTCGTACAACATAATATATTGGACTCCATCCGTTATTTTTTTTAGGTACAGGATGTAGTTATGAGGCCGAGAACAATTTTCTGAAAGCTTCAGCATGGTTACAGCAGCATTTATTAGGAACTGGTCTATGTTTGTATTGATAAGACAGGTGTTGGGTAAAAAAGGGAAACTAAGGACAAACCTGGTTCGTGTCGTCCACGCGTGCAGGTCTTATATATACAACTTATATACAACACTACGACGATTTTCACTGAATGATGCACTAATAAGATGATTGCGTGAAAATCGCGGCTGATGGTTCCGTTTACGTTGATTCGCGGAGAATATGCTGATTTGCGTGTGCTCGACGCGACGTACAACGAACGACTCTCGTTTTGTTGATGCTACCCCCAGATTTGATGGATAAAAATAGGAGTAGGATTTAGGGTAGTAGTTTATTGCAAGTTGGTTAGAAATAAGTAGATTTATATCAACCAACAGGTAAAACAAGAGTTACTACTCTTGTTTCACCTGTTGGTATGACGAGTGCTAGGTCGGCCAACCTCCTAGTAAGTCCTCCTCGTATATCATTGTTAGGTCCCCCATCGCCGTGGATAAGTCCGCGGGGAACGGTGGCTGAGCAGTGTATGGTTCTGGTACGCTCCGCGCGGTATGGTAATAATGCCTTCGGGTTATCATTACTATTGTGCCTACACTTGTAATATTTCTGTCAACATTTAAGACCCTTCCATTAGTTTACCTCTCCACTAACATAGATTGAAATTAAGTGTAAAATTAGTCTACGTCCCGACTTCGCGTCGACTGTACGCGTTACTAATAAGCCATGTAGCAAACTACTAATAAACTTATTAATCTACACATATAAATTAAATTGGAGTGTCTGTTTGTAATATTGATATAACCTTTTTTTACTACATGCGTATGAATATAAATGTCTGTATTTATATTCAAATGCATGAAGTAAAAAATGACATTAGACAACACACCAAAATGACATTTTATAGAATTTTTGTCTGTCTGTTTGTTCCGGATAATCTCTGAAATGGCTGGACCGATTTTGACGGGACTTTTTTTGGCAGGTAGCTGATGTAATAAGGAGTAACTTTGGCTACTTTTATTTTCGAAAAATAATGTTAAATTCCACGCTGACGAAATCGCGGGAACAGCTAGTGTACAATAAATTCGTACAATTATTTTACCGGTATACTTACTACCTATACATACTACAATAAATAATATATTATGTAGCGACACCTCATCCATCATATATAACGCTGCATTGATGAGGGTAACCACTACGCTACACCATAGTGGCGAATAGGCCGACTAGAGATGCGGAGCAGGCTAGGGACAAGGGGTCCAGGTGGGGGCCGTTAAGCGTCGCGGTGGTGGGCTGCTCCTATCGTACTCTACTTGTTGTAGAGACATGTGAGGAGCGGGTGGCTCTGTGTGGCCGGCAGTCTCAGGATTCAAGTCTGCCGTCCACACTGGACGCCGGAACTGAGATGGGGGAGGCGCTTCCCGTATTCTGGTGCGTCTCCCCCAGGGTGGGAGGAGGTGAGGGAACTGGGAAGAGTTTCTCTCACGCGTTGAGGAGGCCCGCATGCGGGCAACCAACGCCGCGACAACCGAAGAGGTCACGGTCGATTGCGAACTCGTTCCCGCGACCCCGGCACTATGGCCGGGGCCTATAATGCCGTGGGGTTTTTAATGAATAGGAGTCTCACATTACCCTTCCGTCCTACCTCTGAGACGGACGGTCTCCATGAGGGATTTTCCCCATATTAATAAAAAAAGGGAGTTGTACGTATGTAGTGTATAGTTGTGAACATATGTATAATGTAGCATGTTGTGGTTACCTGTAATGTACTAATAGTCATATAGTAAAACACTAGTCCTTATATTGATGCATGATGCTGTATCTTAAGTTGGTGATCCATAAAAATGTATAAATAAATAAACGGTCAGACCAGCGACCATGAGAGTCGTAGGAAGTCATCGCCGGAGAATGAGAATAATTTATTTGTGTCTCCATAATGTATCTTAACATATTGTTTAAGTACTATAATGGAAATTACCGTTAGGTCCCCCAAAATATAACTGGAACACTGTGTTATTAAATTTCCTTCCATCATACGTAACACTAGAATAGTAAATGTAATTGTTGTCGGCATCTGTTAAATTTATTACAGTAAAGTATATCGTCAAATTGACTTCGTAAATACCACGATTTAATACTATATCGTAACTCTTGTTATTTTGTAGACTCTCTGAAAATTAATAAGTATTATATAGTGAATAACACCAATGAGAATAAACATGGTTACAACTGTAATCCTATATGAAATTGAGGCATTGTTAAATATCAACGTTGTATCAAACGCAATAAGGCCATATTTCTCTGAGTACCTACTATCTATATCTCAATCCAATATGACCATCACCTCTCGGGTTAAATTGGATTGCTATTCGTATGTCTATTTCCGGAGAGTAAGTCAGATATATAAAACGACACAGAAAGTTTTTTGTTTACAATCAGATTCGTACGGTAGGGCAGGAAGTCAACCAACCTCGACACAATATAATTGGGATTATAATTGATATTATTGGCATACTAGTAGCCTCATTGCTTGCAAAGTACAAGGTCAGGTTGAACTCCGTGTGGCCACCCCTAACCCTCAGTAGTTCATTCCTAATGATTCCACTTTGTCACGATAGATTTGGACCTGACTTTCAGCTCACCCAATCATACTCCACTGGTTCCCCCTGTTAGCGCAGGCGGGAGCACCATTCACCATTCAGGGGAGAGGGAGGATTGGTAATAATGGATTAGTGACCCCATTGCTAGCAATGTCATATCCGGTTGACCGACACACGATCTGCCCTGAAAACCGTCGTGGTTAAATCCTGTGAAATTCACGACGGTGACTGACATAAAACATTTTATCTATTAAAAAGAGTGGTGTTGTTCAAGCAGTGATGTCTGACTGCGATATCGGATAGCTTGAGTGGTTTAATTCACATGATTATACATATTAAGGTAACTGTCAGCTTTCTGGTAGACCGACTGATTTGGCACTCTTAGGTACCGTATACCGTATTCCCTCATACTCGGGCTCGGTGTTATTCTAACATGTGGTCAGTCAGTCAGTCAGTTTGAGCGTTGCCTACTTTTTAATAAAATATATATCACATACTTCTCACTTCGAGTACACCTTTTGAATCGTAGAGTGGAAGATGGTCATGTTCTACTTTAATATACAATTGATCTCCAGTACCATAAGTTATGATCTCGTCCTTGTCTGTAAATGAAATTACTTCCTAGATACATTATGTCATTTGTGCTTATATGCAACAAAGTCTGTACATCACTACATAGTATACAACAAAGTCATTGTTTATTTATTTTAAAATAATAGAGTTCATCACAATATTTGCTACAGTAAAATATAAAGTGTAGAAACGTGTTAATTTAAGGAAAGTCAAATGTTATATAAAACTATACAAAATGAATCAAGTTATTTGAATTTTATGAAAATTAATATAAAATTAAGCAAGTAACAGTTACAAGAAGAATTTTGTTAATCAGAATCATATGTAGATATGTAGTTAGAAAAGCCTTCACTAAAGTAATGATTTGCACGTATTTTTATTTTTTATTATGTTGATACTCTTGATTCTTTAACTAATGTATTTTCCTGGTAATATTTCAAAAAACACGTTCGAGCGTCAATGCCCTGTACCCTGGGCAGCATTACCCAAAGTCAGGGGAAATGCCGCTCAATAATGTTTTTTTTTTAATAATGTGGTCCTAGTCCTACTAGTAGTAGAATAAAGATATATGTTTTTGTTGTTAAATAGTTGATTAGTCGATAATTAAATAACTTTGTTACTTTTCTTAATTTTGTTTTCCTTAAGTGGGTCTTCCTATGTGATGGGTTGAAAAAATCGATTTTTTTTTTTTCATAAATTGCTATATCTATATATATACATGTCTAGAATACGGTAGTAAAGCGATTTTAGAAAATTCGAAGTCGTTTTAAAGATACAGCAGGTAAAAGAAAGAGCGGTTCGGAGCGGTGAGTTGGCAGTTAGAGACCGGGCCTATTGTGTACCGTCGGCTTTATACCTGGCCTCCCTTTTATTAATATATTTGTTTATACAAGTTTAGACACGTTTCTACAGACTTAAACAGAAATTTCTATTGTTATAATATTTTACCGAAGTTATTTTAGTCTTGGTTGAACTTCGAAGAGAGCAACAGCTACAAATTATTTTTTTTCATAATGAGTGGACGGAAAGGAAGTACGAGTGGAAATGTTCATCCTGGTCGTAGTAAAAAAAGAAAGTTGGGCATAGTGGAAACCTCAGCATCAATTTTGTCCAGAAGGCGAAGACAGTTGGTGTAAATGGCGTAAGGCTGAAGCTAATAATGAACTGGACCAATTTCATCACGATAACCACCTCTAATTCCGCAAGTCCAAGAAGCTATCAAACCGGTTTTCGAAGATTTATCGAAAGACGAATTATTAATTCGTTGTTTAGGAGCAGAGACACAAAACAATAACGAATCTTTGAATTCTTTGATTTGGACTTTCGCTCCTAAACATCTTCATTCTGGTAGCAAAAGTTGTTGAAATTGCTAGCTACTTAGCAGTTATTATCTTTAATGAAGGTTTTCAAGGTATTTTAAAAGTTATGTCGATTATGGGATGCCCTGTTGGTCGTGAAGCCCAAGCGTATGTTGAGAAACGGGATGAAAAGCGAATCTTACGCTCTGAGCGGCGCGTAAGTGATGTCGTTAAACAAGCCATCTCTGGATTGACTCAAGAGCTGAACAATCTGCTTTAAAAGAGTTTCACGAGGAAGAGGAAGGAATACTCTATGGACCAGGCATCGCCGATTGAGAGTAAGTTGATATTTTAATAGTTTTTAACGGACTTGAAACTTTAAACGCGTTTTTCTCAAAACTGTGTTTTTCAAACTTTCCTCCATTGTATCTCAGAAACGGCTGGACCGAATTACTTGAAATTTACAGGGCACACTCAATATATGTAAACGCATGGAATGAACTATTATCAATCGAAAATTTTCAAAACTTCGATTTTTTTATAGCAAAAAACAAAAAAAAAAAAGCGCCTAATTTCCACCTGCGCCTCCAGCTTTTTGATTTCGAAATGTCTATCAAAAAGCTCTCTCCGTCAATTTTTTTTATATTCATTTGATTATAGGTCATTCCGTGCTTTTAAGACGGCCACAAATCCATAAAACGCGAACGTTTTTTTTTTTTTTTCAGATAAGCCGATCACGCCCACGGAATCGTGGACGACGGGCAAGGATTTTAGGGAGCTCTTTTTTTCGGAGGCGGGGGTGTTCAGAGCGGCCGCTTCGGCACTCTAGTTTCGCTCGACACAAGAATATTTTTCGAGCGCGTCGAACGACGCTATATTTATACCTGTCCAAATATGTGTCGGCGTCCGCCAATAAATGTCAAAAAATTCCAGCTCTAACATATTTCCCCCCGGCGGGGACGGGTAGAAAAAAAATCCTCAAATCGGCGCCAAGAGAGACGCGCCCAACCGAAGTCGGGCGGGTAATACGGAGGCTAGCGCCTCCACAAGCTGCTCCAGGGCTTCCCCTGGAAAAAAACAGGCCGTCACTCCCGGAGTCCACCAAAATCCACCTCAGCGCAACAACAAAACAAACAAAAACAACAAAACAAAGGAAACTTAACCTAACTAACCTAACCTAAGTATATGTACAAATGTAACCTATTTAATTAAGAGAGAAAGAGAGAATAAAAGAATCAACAAAAACAAACAGACACACTACTATACTAAAATCGTAAAATATATATATATATATATATAACCTAACTAACTTAACAATTAAAAGAAAAGAAAGAAAAGAAAGAAAGAAAGATAATATATTGCGCTAGCGCCAAAAAGAAAACACCAAAAAACACCAAGATCCAAAAGTCACCAAGTGGTCAAGTTGTGCCTTCAAAAATGTGGTCAAGTTCTCATTATTAGGAAGCTACACTATCCCTAAGTAACATAGGCTATATTATATTTCCAAAAAATTAGGGATCTTTACTAAAAATATTACATAGAAATACCTAACACCGCGTGCGCTGCAATAAGTATTGATGATAGAACAAAATGATGTACTACGACTTTGTAGAACACATCATTATCTACAGAAAGTGTCGCGACGGCATGTGTCCAACTATTGTAGTTACGTCACAAAAAGTGTTTTTTTAATTTAAAAATTTAATTTAAATGCCGTAGCTAGAATTAGCCCTTTATTCGTATCTTGCTATTAACCCTTATCAAAATAAATTACTTCATATTCACGACTGGTTAAATACCTATACAGAACTTTTTGAATTATTCAATTTGGAAGATATCATTCCATTCGAAAGATATCACGTATACAAAAATGTAAGTATTAGAAAAAAACCCCGCTCGGTTAGCTATAAACCAAATGCGATGTAGGGGCGTCACTGCGGTATGAGAGGGGATACTTGCTAAGATAATCAGGGAAGATAGCGATAGCAGTTACTTCGTCAGGAATTGCTGCACCTCTCTTAAAGAATGGAAGAACTGCTCATTCTACTTTTAAACTTCCGCTATCTGTAAATCTTGAGCAACAATCTATATGTTCAATTTACAAAAATGGGCCTCTTGGTAAATTACTACAAGATGCCTTTGTGGGATGAATTCACCATGAGCCATAGAGCACATATAGAGACCGTGGATAGTACCTTAAAATATCTTAGAAACACCTCTGCTCTCATAGGCGGGATTACTTTTGTATTTGCTGGAGATTTCCGACAGACTCTACCTGTTAACGTAGGTATGCGAGCAGATATCATAACAGCATGCTTGAAATCGTCTCCCTTATGGTCTTTAATTGAAAATTTAAAATTATGAACGAATATGAGAGCTCATCTTCACAATGCTATAAAATATCTTTCGTCGCGTTATTGGTGATAGAACAGAAGTATGTTCAACTATATTGAAGAACACATCAATAACTACAAAAAACTTCGCAATACTATATGTCTAACTATTATCGTTATGTCACAATAATCACTTTTTACATTTTAATAGTCGATAGAAATACCGACCAAACTATTCATACACCATGTTATTCATACTTCTGTTTAAATCCTTATTTCCTAAAAAGAAATCCTATTGTTTTCAAAACTGTTTCAATTTGTGTATATTACTTTTTGAATTGTTCAAGACGGCTACTCCAT